TAGTCAAAACAATACAATTGCCAAAAGTTAGAAAATTTGGAACACGTAGAATGCAGCTTGGAACATGAACAATGCAATAATTTGAATGATAGGAATGTGTAGGCAAAACAATACAATTACCCAAAGATAGACATTTTGGAACACATAGAATGCAGCTTGGAACATGTACAATGCAATAATTTGAATGATAGGAATGTGTAGGCAAAACAATACAATTACCCAAAGATAGAAAATTTGGAACACGAAGAAAGCAGCTTGGAACATGTACAATGCAATAATTTGGATGATGGGAGTGTGTAGGCAAAACAATACAATTACTCAAAGATAGAAATTTTGGAACACGTAGAATGCAGCTTGGAACATGTACAATGCAATAATTTGGATGATGGGAGCAGGCGCGTACGCAGGATTTTTTCAAGGGGGGGGTTTAACATTTATAAATCGGTCCGAAAATTTCGCAACGACTCAGCCAGCCGCTGAATAAGCGGGGGGGGGGGGGGGGGGTAAGAGGACACATTTTTAAATCGCAACGACTCAGCCGACCGCTGAATAAGCGGGGGGGGGGGGGGGGGGGGGGGGGGGGGGGGGGTAAGAGGACACTTTTTTTTTTTTTTTTGGTCTCGAAATTTGGAAATTTGACATTTTGCTCCGTTGGGGGGGGGGTAAGGTCACCTTTTTTAGGTCGGCCATGGGAATAATTTTTTTTTTTTTTTTTTTTTTTAATAATTAAAAAAAAAAAAAAAAAAAAAAAAAAAAAAAAAATCCAAAAGGGGGGGGGGGGGTTTTAGGTTTTTTTTAGGGGGGTTTACACACAAAAAATTTCCAAAGGGGGGGGTTTAACCCCCCAAACCCCCCCCCCCCCCCCTGCGTACGCGCCTGGATGGGAGTGTGTAGGTAAAACAATAGAATTACCCAAAGATAGAAATTTTGGAACACGTAGAATGCAGCTTGGAACATGTACAATGCAATAATTTGGATGATGGGAGTGTGTAGGCAAAACAATACAATTACCCAAAGATAGAAATTTTGGTACACGTAGAATGCAGCTTGGAACATATACAATGCAATAACTTAAATAATGGGAGTGTCAGTGTGTAGTCAAAACAATACAATTGCCAAAAGTTAGAAAATTTGGAACACGTAGAATGCAGCTTGGAACATGTACAATGCAATAATTTGGATATGATTGGAGTGTGTGGGCAAAACAACACCATTTCCAAAAGATAGAAATTTTGGTACACGTAGAATGCAGCTTGGAACATATACAATACAATAACTTGCTTGATGCAAACAATGCACCCATGACAAAGATATAAATTTGGGACACGCAAAATGCAGTTTGGAACAGGTTAGATGCAATAACTTATATTGATGCAAGTATGAAGTCACAGCAGTACAATACAAATTTAGAAATGCACTAACTTAATTGATGCAAGTTTAGATGCAATTAATATATTCAAAACAATACAAGTGTAGTGAAATACATATATTCTCTTGCTTGAATCGGTAGTGCAGATGTGCTGTCATAGCCTAGATAGATATGCATGCACTGCGTGTACGGACAGTACACACGCCGTGTCGGCACAAGCATAATGCATATTCATTAGGGGGCGTCAACATTTCCTTTACGTAGTGACGTGCGCAAACCTCTACAGGTTCCAAAAGATTGCCTACCTATTTATAGGTGCCTATCGATCTCGTCCTCCAGTTTAACTTTCAAGGAACGACTAATTCGTTTGAAATAGCTAGCTAGGTGAGTAAACAGACCTACAAGCACGAACAGAAATGTTGCCGGTGACGTGGATCGGTCAAATGTATTTTTATTTAACAGGGTAGGCCCTACTAGTAGATCTAATGCTACTAGAGACAGAGTGTATACGTTTAGTCCCACACGTTCCCTTTCGAGTATTCAATTCAGACCTTCCAATCTGGTTAGTCCATCATAGAGCCATATACATAGCTGCATTACTATCCTGGCTGTGTATTAAAAGCTGTACTTTTGATTCTCAACATTTCAAACACCACCGTACAAAACTCAACTGATTTCACTCAAAATCGGTACTTTAGTGACAATTGATGACACCTAAATGGCAATATTCTAGTGTCAAATATTGTGTGCAGTCTGTGAAATAGTGTATGGTGGTGTGACCAAAGTTCGCGCGTGACCTAAGTTCGCTATCTCAAAAGATCAGTAAGATTACGAAAATCTGATATCACCAATGGAAAGAGGAACATAAAAATGATAAAATTACCCAGAAGTGAAATTTTCTTTGGAATTGGGTACGAAATTGTGAAAATATTGACAAAAGATCGGCAAATTTTGCAATATTTTGCGTCCGTTTCGAAAAATGATCAACTTACCGATAAGGGTCTGAAAATCTTCAATTTGAGAGCAGATTTCCTCAAAATTGTAAGTAAACGGTGGTACTAACTGATCGTATGATATCTTGCCTTGCAAATTATGATAGGTCTAGATCTAGATCTAGAGTAAAGGAGCCCGTTTTCGGCCACTTAAGACAAAATCCTATTTTTAGGACTCTTTACTTCCTATTTATTATCATTTTTTGTTCAAATCATGAAGCAAATATTATTATTATTTAAACAAAAAAAGAATCCCAGAAAAAAATCACGAATTGCCATGACAATATTCATTTCAATTTTCACTGTTTTGGAGCCCGTTATCGGCCAAGCATTTCAGTTTACGTCCGCATGTACAAAGTCAATAGGAAGCGCTCGCGCGCGCCGTGCGTTTCCGCGCTGATGTACAGCACAAGCGGGCGGAGCAGGTATCCCACGCCGGAGCTCCCTGGTGCTCGCCTGGCCGAAGACGGGCACAGCGGTGAACGGAAGTTGGAATCTGAATTAGACAGAGATATCGTGTGTGCGTCGCGGTGTGCGGCTGCATTGATTTAATACATGCGATGAGATACTTTTGAGCTTGCGACCAGCACAAAATCGGGCTTTAAATCTGAAAAATACTTGAAATAAAGCTCATTTTATGGTACCCATATTTCTTACAGACACGCGTAAGATACTCGATTTTTCAGATTTGGGTAGCGGGACCGGCGATTACATCGCTAAAATGTGATATTTTAGGATATATTTTCCATTGCAAATGTGGTTCTTCAGTGACACTGGCATGGTATGGTATGTGTGGGATATGTGTTATGGTATTATGCGATGTATTTTAGAGTGATTTTACCTTGCATCCAACCAATCGGCCGAAAACTGGAGCTGGCCGATTACGGGCTCCTTTACTCTATTACCTTATTTTTGATGGATCACACTTTTTGATAAATCAACTGTAAACCCCCTAGACAAAAAATATGGCTATAAATGGCCATGGCGTTAGCAAGGGAATGCGTATAAACGGTTTCCGTCTCTAAAGAGAGAGCCGACCCTACCCCAATAAGAGGCTAACGAACGAAAGAGACAGAAAATTCGGTCTATAAACCCCCGTGCGTGAAGTTAGGTCTCGTTGTTTTTACGGCTTTTTTAGATGTAGCAAGCACGAACGATCTGACATCGAATTTTTAGATCGCGATATCTCCAAAATCCTTTGACGATAAAATTTTCTAGTTGAACTAATCTGTAGTTAAAAACTTTGCCGTCCCTTTGGTTATAATTGAAATCAATAAATATGTGTAGAATATGAGAAATCGTAGTTTGAATATCACATTTTGTAATATGTTCTAAAATGTCCGCGAACTTTGGTCACCCCTTCATACGTGTGTGGTGTGTGTATTTGTCTATTATACCTGTCTGTGGTATGTGTATACCTACCTGCCTGCCTGTGGTGTGTGTATTTGTGTATTATACCTGCATCTGGATCTGGATGTGTACGATGCAGGGCCCTACTGGGCATAAACGCATCGGTAGAGAGAGAGGGCGCGGGGGTACTTAATTAGAAGGCTCTGTCAATGGCCTTCCTGAATGTGCTGGTTGATGTGGAGTTTATGGTGTTTTCGTCCAAATGGTTCCATTCAATGATGGTAGTGGGAAGAATGAGCTCCTGTAGTTTTCAGTTTGTGCTCTGATGGGGTTGTAGCACTTGCTGTTGTTTGTCACTTGTCTGTCTATGATATTTGAGGTATTACAGTTTTCAACTTGTCTTGCACGGATACGTCGTATGCAGTGCTAGGGGTCAATAGTACGCATTAGCATTGACTCTATGCTTTGCTGGAGTGAGTTATACAGGGAGTTGTAAACATACAACTCCATGGTTTATATACATTTCCCCAATCAATCTTCATTTCCTGTCTAACTGCAGGTTCAGTCTTGTGTTGGTGTTTAGAATGGTCCAACCCAATATCAGTCTGACAAGAGGAGAGGTACCATGAGCGGGTATCTGAGCAGACTAGCCAATCGTGTGAGCAACCAATTCCTGTCACCACTTCGTAAACAAGAGCTGCCGCTGTCTGGGAGATGGAAACAGGAGCAGATCTTCAATCTCAAAGGATACTTGGTTGCCGAGTTATCCAGCACAAGGCAAGAAGACTTTTAAATTTAAGGGAGGGGGGGGGTGATTCTGTCCTGTTCTTGGTAACTTACTCCATCTTTCTGTCCTCTTATTATTTAGAGTCTAGTTATACTTTGTTTCTCTCATTTCAGATTATATTTCTTTTTTCATCTCCACCTTTCCAGCAGCAGTTCTAATCATATATTTCCACATTTCTTTTGCACTTATTACTTTAAAATCATATATTTACCTCCTGTTTCCATTCTGTTTCTTACCCTGTTCTTTAATTTCTTCAGTCATTACTAAAGACTTTAGTTTCTTTTAGTTTAATGTTTTGCATTCTAGTTGATTTTCTTTCCCTTTTTAAATGCATCATAATACAATGTACATTTGAACACAATTCAAGTTGCACGAAAATTAAAAAATATAAACTATCGTGATTAAAGGGGCCTTTTAATAGCAGAAAGTACATGTTCTTAGTTTGTCATATTCTGCTGTAAATTAGATACTTTAATGACCATAATGACACTTTACTGTTACGCTTGGCGGATTCTTCAGATTTTCCACTGCACCCGGTACACCTTACTCCACACATACGGACAATAGTTCTGCAGCTCACTTCCAGGGTTCCAAGCACACCAAAGGCAGCATCCCAACCACACCTCCCCCAGGCAGCATCCAGGCCACGTCTCCCCCAGACATCACCAGACACACACAAGCCACCAGAGATCACCTCACTCCAGAGATAGAATTGAGACTGATTACCAGAGAATGCCCCTTGTGGCACGAGACCACTGACCAGTGTCCATTCACTGACCCATTCTGGGCCTTCTATTGGCCTGGTGGTCAAGCTCTTACAAGGTGAGGGTGAGGCTTCAATGTACAAAAAGAAAAAAGGGATTATTTACTCAGTCTGAGTGCTGCTATTGCTTATACCTGTGCTACTTACAGTAAGAGAAATATACAGGGAGATAGAAAGAGAGAGAGAGGGGGTGTAGTGGTCCACATGCACATATCCCCATTATCAATTATGGTATACCTGGAGGAGAGGGTTTAATGTACATAAGTTCAAGACAAAGACAAGGGAGAGGGAGAAGAAGAGGAGGAGTTGGAGAAGAAGAGGATAAAAGGGTAGGAGAAGCCAAAAAAAAGGGGGAAGAAGAAGGACAAGAAGAGGGAAAAAAATTCTCATACATTGTTATAGTACCCATTTTAAGACTTCTACCGGCCTAGTGGTCAAGTTCTTACAAGTTGAGGGTTTAAGGTAGAAGGAGAAGAAGAAGAAAATGAATCTATTATAGCTTGCACAATAAACAAATGGAATCTTGATAATCACTAACGCAGGTATAGAAATACAGTCACACCTGCTTTAGTGACCACCTGACTACAAGCACCACATTTTTTGTTTCCCTTGAAAATGGTTTCTCATTGAAACATGTACTAAAGGACCCTGTCTACAAAGACCACTTTTTGTGTTTCCCTTGGGTGGTCACTATAGACAGGTTTGACTGTATTATTCTCATCCCTAGCCTTACAGCTTCAATAAATCTTTCTGACATACACAGGTATATCTTGGATCATCCCGAGTTGATTGAAGGCAGATCTGTATTAGATGTAGGATCAGGTTGCGGTGCTTCAGCTATAGCAGCGCGTATGGCAGGAGCTAGCAGAGTACTGGCCAATGATATTGATCCTGGTGAGTGAGGATACTTCAAATAATTCATGTTTGCAAGTAGGCTTGAGTCGGTACGGTCGATCACACCGGGACCCGACCGTTGCCGTCGGGTCCCGGTTTCGTTTTTTGAGAACCGACTCTCCGAAAAAAATAATGAAATATGTAAGAAATTGCAGTTTTGCACACCACTAAAATCATTCCACCTTGAAACTTAAGTATTTAATTGTTACCAATCATATTCTAGCTCATCCTGAATCAATCCGAACTGCTGATATAAATAAGGGTTGCAAAGCAGTTCGCTGCATGGGGTTGTTGTTGCCAGCTGCTAGCTAGCTACTGTACTGGCCGGGTCTCTCGGCAGGATTAATAAATCAGGTTGAAAGAAACAAAAATGTTTGAATAATAAAACGGCTTTCTAAAAAATACTTCTTTACAACATACCGATCGAATAATTTTTAAAAGACAAAATGGATATTATTTCTTTGATTTTGAACACCGCATGCTTCTTTTAAAAGCTGAAAATTACTTGGTAATCACAAGAAGTTTCGATACGGATAGCTGTTGCAAGGCAAGTTCAGACTAGTCTCGGAAAAATGCGCAGTGCTCCTCGTAGTGAGCTGTAATCTGTGCCAGAACGAGAAAAAATAATTAAAAACTACGAGAGCACAATTGGAAAGACAACTACTCAAAATTATCGTAAGCAGATAAATAACTTGGAGGAATAATACAATAGTTGTCCAAGAAAAGCCACAGAAATAGTGATATTTAAGGAGTTACTATAGGTACAATCATTATCGGAATGGGCCTGCTGATATGTCCGAATTACGCGTTATTTGGTTTCTAGCCTCGTGTTCTAACACGAGGCTAGAAACCAAATAACGCCCTCTACGGTAAAAAGCAGTATAACAAAGGATTCGAGTATTTGCAGCTAGCCCCTTGCGATAAAAATGTACCCAGTTACTCCTCGATTATCACAATTTCTTTGGCATTTCTTGGGCGATTATTGAATTCTTTGTCTAAGTTATTTATCTGATTATCGTAATTTTGAGCAGTAGTTGTCTTTCCAATTGTGCTCTCGTAGTTTTTAATGATTTTTTTCTCGTTACGATCACGTCTTTGTTTGGGTTCCTTCTGGCACGCATTACAGCTAACAAGGAGCACTGCGCATTTTTCCGAGACTAGTCTGAACTTGCCTTGCAACGGCTATCCGTATCGAAACTTCTTGTGATTAACAAGTAATTTTCAGCTTTTAAATTAAGCATGCGGTGTTCAAAATCAAAGAAAAAATATCTTTTTTGTTTTTAAAAATTATTCGATCGGTATGTTGTAAAGGAGTACTTTTTAGAAAGCCGTTTTATTATTCAAACATTAATCTTTTTTGACCCGATTTCTACATGAATCAAAATGGCGGCTCGATCGTTGTCTTTCTATTTTTGCTCCAGTTTTTTTACTTTTAAAGGCACGATAATGGCACTAAACATCGCCAATCATGGATAAAAATAATGTCTAATGGAAGAATATACCGATCTGTGCCGAGGTATGCATGTGTTGATTTATTTGACTGATAAAAAAAGGTCACTTTTAAGGGACATACTGATGATATGCGCTTTTTATAGAGGCAAGTGACAAATCCTGCGAGCTGATTTCGGGACACCGGGTCCCGATCGGTGCAAGGCCGTCGGGACCCGGTTTATGAAAATACCGACATGACTCGGGCCTATTTGCAAGTGCATTACTGAAAATGCATTGCAGGCCGGGTTTAGTGTCTTGTCTCTGATTTGGGCCTACCAGAGACTATCATTCTAAGACACAACTGGATTAAAAATGATAAGAGTTCACACCGTCATTAACATGCAGTCTTTTGCATCCAACTTTATTTATCTTGCTCGTATTCTTGAACGTATATCTTGCTACGAGAGGGCAGTATGCAACGAAATAGAAAAAGAACTTTCAGGATAATATACGGGGTACTTCACAATAATATAATGATTAAGACTTGTCAAGATTATGCTCATTTTGACTTTACCAAGTCTTAGTCTGCTTCCTGTTATTTCTACAGCTATTTGCAGCTCATAACGCTGCCGTGACTAAGTAAAAAATATTGTAATATTACGTCTTATTAGGGGGTCTTATTATTGCCGATAATTTTTGGACACCAATTATTATTACTGATTATTAAAACTAATTTTTTTACGGGTTGGGCAGTGAAGCATACATGTGTAGGGTCAAGTCCAAGGGCTAACCCTTATTCAAAGTGCGTATTTAACTATTTAGCATACTGGATATAACCACAAGGCGATACTCACTGATGGTAGGAAAAAAATAGTATTGCTCAGCATACATATGAACTGGGGTATACAGGGGAAGACAGCAATATTATGTTATTGCGATCAAGGGAAATTGTTTACAGATTTAGGCACACAGGCAATTTTGTTGTTGTTTTTTACTATTTTTTACACTTTCTGGAAAATTGTTCCTTACATTTACATACAAGACTATCAACTTTTATTAAGCATACATAAAATGATAAGAAATCTTTTAAGTATGACTGATGACCCAGTCCTACCAATCATAATCCTATAACAACTAACAACAATCTGCCCTCCCTTCAAGCAAGAAGAATTGAGCTTGATACTAAGTTTGCCCACTCGCTACTGACGTCCCGACACAGAGACTTACTTCCACCATCTAAAGATTCCTTGCCAAATCTTCGCCCCCTCCGTAATAATCATGGTTTGGTCATTCCTAAATGCAGGACTAGCCGATATCAAAATTCTGCTGTTCCTTCTCTTGTTCGTACAATTAATAAGCCTTGATTCTCTCTCTCTCTCTCTTTCTCTCTATCTCCATCACCTTTCTCTCTCTCTCTCTCCCTCTTTCCTTTTCCACAGAATCTTCAGGTTTTAAGGCTTTCATCGTTGCCTATTTTCAAAATATATTTTCCCCCTATTTTCTTTGATTGTTTGGTTACTCAACATTATTATTGTCTGTTTATCTGCTACCATTAGCATATATCAGTTTAGTAATTTGACGATCTTGACCACTAATTTCTCTTAGTTTATTTTGGTATTGTATTGATGGAAATGTATTATTTTTGTCATCTTTATTACCATCTTGTACTTGTCATACCTGTTCGTTTGGCTCACTATTGTATATTTACTGTACTATTTATAACTGTATTGTATAATTTGTAAACATGATCAGTTTTGGTCCTTGGACCTTTGAATCATATATAGTCTACTGATATGTCTTTTTAAACCAAAATAAATACATTTAATAAAATAAAGGATAATTCAGTACCGGTAGTCATATCTGTACAAGAAAGATTAAAAATCACATCCTGATTCACTGTTTTCATCTCTTTCTTTGCAGTTGCAATCCAAGCTATTGAAATAAATGCTGCCCTCAATGGTATCACATTGGACACAAGTGCCAAGAACTTGATATGCCAGCCATGCTTAAAAGACAACCAATGGGATGTGGTGTTTCTTGGTGACATGTTCTATGATAAAGACTTTACTAACATGGTTGTTGATTGGCTGATTTGTTTGATCAGGAAACACAACAGTCGGATTTTAATCGGTGACCCTGGTCGGGTTTATTTGAGGGATCATCCCATGAGAGAAAACCTTATCAAACTATTTGAGATTGAACTACCTCCAAATTGTGTGGAAGAGAATAGGGGTCATAGTTCAGGGTATGTATGGGAGTTTGTATTATTTTAGTCCTAAATAGATCTATATCATAAACATATTATGTATATTAAAGTATATTTGCCATCAGCTGCATGCAAGGATGATGCAACTGTCATTGACAATTCAAAACTGTTCTGGGAGGGGGGGCATTTCACAAAACTTGTCATCAGTGACAAACAACAATTTGTGTTATAAGCTACTGAAATCCTTGCTTCTGATTGGTTATCAGCAGATTTGTCACTGATTTTTGTTATTTGTCATTGAAAAAGGGCTTTGTGAAATGCCCCCCTGGTCTTCTCGTGGGCAGTTGACGATGTACTATCATTTTCAAAAACAGAAACCTTTTCACTGTCTTTGTGCCTTAACATAATCAAAGTTTGAATACATAGCTTCCATAATGGTGAACTCGTAACAATTTGAACAAATAACTCATACAGCAGCTTGTGAGGGAAAAGTTGAATGAATATCTCACCACCAGATTTTGACTTGCCAAGAACTAAACCTTTCTTGCTCAATGTGCCTGTAATAGATTAAAATAGACTATTGTCTTCAGCAGTTGGGAGGTATTTATTTGCGAGTATAGCTGCTTTATACTGGTTTTGTTTTTAACTCAAGGTTTCTCTTATAGGAATTTCCCTCCTAACTGATAAAACAACACTGGTTGATTTTCCCTCAGGTAAATTTGTTGTTTGCACTATTTTTAGTTTATTTTTTTACTTTCTGATATAACAAGGGTTCATTACAACAAGGTAATTTTGTTGGTCTGAAGGAGTTTGATATACTGAAGGATCATTCAGATATGATGCGGTAAACCACCACAAAAAGCAGCGTTTCTTTTTGTTACGTGGACGCATGCAACTGCTTGCAACGAAGGTCCTATGCCTATTCAATCAGCTCTGTATCATAAGATACAGAAATGTGAAGCGTATTACACTTTATGTCATCATTTTCTTTAAATGATGCAGTTTTGCCGTTTCATATCTTAACAAGAGTCCTGGGGGGTGTTTCACAAAGATCCTAAGTTGAACTTATCTCTAAGTTGGACTTAAAAATTATGGAAAGCCATTAGCATCTTTGAAAATATTTTGTAAAAGTTATTTTGAAAGGCATTAATTGTTTATTCAAATCATTCATATTTTCTATCATCAAGGAGATTTCATGTTCTGGATGTGGAATTTATGAAAAGTCTAAAATACTTGAATTTCTGCTTTTGAATATATTTCATTTTAAGACTCCAATGGCTGTCCATAATTTTTAAGTCCAACTTAGAGTTAAGTTCTACTTAGGATCTTTGTGAAACACCCCCCTGGTTCCAACTTCCTCTGTATTCTGTTCTATTTGATATGACAAGATTTTAATGTAACAATGAAATTTCATTGGGCCCACAAAGTTTGTCGGAACACGACTCGAGAACATACATGTATTGCACTTGGTTATGATAATTAAGCTCCTTGCCCATTTGTCACTGCACAATATGTTTGCCAATATTTATGAAGTCATTCTATGCAGTTCAGGAATAGAAGATATGTTCCAAAATTTTAGTAGATAGACATGAAATATATATTTATTCCTCTTGGTTTTGTGTGTGATATTTTATGGGTAATTGTTATTAAAAATCAAGTTATTCCACTTTAAAATGTTTAGATATGAAATATTGATGTGTGCTGGAAAAACATGAGGAATTTTATACTGTGTCTTATGTAACATTGCAATTTTGGCGGTGTTACCCTAGCTCTCGTCTGGGAGGCACTTTGCTTTACTATGCATTAAAAGTTTACCTTATTATTATTATAACTATTATTTTTATGAGGACTGTTACTTTCTGTATTGCATGTAGAAAGTGTGTAAAAAACATGACAAAATTATTTTTATGAGATTTTAAACACTGAGGCCCGTATTCTGAAGTCGTGTTTAACTTGGTCATGACTAAAGTTAAACAACCGTTTAGTTAGACACGACTTTAGAATACGGGCCTGGGTCTCTTCGTTTTTTATTTTTTGTGTGTACCGGTATGTCTTTCTTTAGCATTAATTTCCCCATTTCATTTTTCTAACTTCATCTCTATATTTGTATAGATGTATTCCAGATATTTGGACCTTTTAATTAAACGTTTTGCTATACACTGAAAATCTATGTACCCTTCTTTCAAGTCTCGATCTCCATCCAGAAATCTTTCTTACTCTCCTTCCCTTTCTCTTTCTTTTGTTCACTCTTCTCTCCATTCCTCAATGTCTCCATCTGTGTGTGTCTTCCCTCTCTCTCTCTCTCTCTCTCTCTCTCTCTCTCTCTCTCTCTATATATATATATATATTTCTCCCTCCCCTTTCACTACTCTCTCTCTCCCCTCTCATTCTCTTGATCATTTTTCTCTAGATCAATCTTCCCTTCTATCATTTGCCCCCACGCCCTGCTTGAAGCCAGAAGGGCATGGCATGGCATGTATTGAGTTGACAACCTTCTGGCTCTAAACCGATATGATCCCCCCCCCCCCCTTCCCTTTCCTCTTCTCTCTTATCCATGTCACATTAGCTCGACAGATTGCAAAAAGGGAAAAGAGAAGTACATACAATTAGAAATGTATTTCAATGAAAAGAAACATGTTAAAATATTTCCTCTGTGCTATACATAAACATGTACAATGTATCAAAGTGAACACAAGCATGACGGTAATATCTGCATATACTTTATTTATAAACTTATCTTGCAGGTAAGGTACAGCTCTTGATAAACTTTCTTTCATAAAAACAAAATAATTGTGTTGAAGTGCAAAAGAAAGACACAAATGTTTATCTTTGCTTATATTACCAAGTATAAATTCCTTTGTATGTCTTGCAGGTAATGTGGAATTCTGGATAAGAAATCTATTTTCAAAAGTTAATTACTTGTACTCTACTTACCAATAAAATGTTTTGATCGTTTGAAAATGTCTGGTAGATGAACTCAGAAATGAGGGTTCCTGCCAATTCATCATTTCAAATTTTTCAAAAAAACAACATTTTAATTCAGATTTGATCATTCACAACAGAGACAAAATGCTGAATGCAGTTATAAAGACTAATTATGTATATTTCCATCCTTGCCAGAACTCCACATTACCTGCATGATTGTTTTGCTTGCTCAAGCTCACACTTTTTTGGTGAAAATGGGAATTTAACACATTTTCACTATGTATAACTCTTTACAGATGAATGTACATAATTTATTGTACACATAATTTTTTCTTATAACCTGTAGACAGGCCTGGTAAAAAGAATACATGTACTTTCTTTAAACAAGAATAAAATAAAATATACACATACTTTGTAAAGCATCACATTTTGAATTACTGTTTAAAAAAATGTGCATTCTGATTGCTACATACATGTAGTAATTATCAATATGAGTAATTTCTCTTCGTTTACCTAAAATATGTTGTTTATTTCTCAAACTGAATTTTAATACCTGACTAATTCAGCTCCGAAATATAAGTTGTATATTAACGGAAACACGGTGTGAAGAAAAAGAAAGGAGCACATAAACACTGAAGGAAAGACATGGCTTTATAAAACAAGAGACTTTGCTTATTATATTGAACCCTTACTTCCAGCAAAAAAAAAAATTTAAATTACTAATCAGCTGATGGTTTCTTAAAATAATTTAACATAGGAGTCATTTCTTGGGTACGTTGAAATGAAAAGATAACGAGTGTTATAAAACGGTATATAATCTGAATTTGATTAAACATGTATTTTGGAAGTCTCTGCATCTTTGCCATATTTCTAATCACAAAACAATTCAGCTGACTATGCTAACTTAGAAATAAACATTTTTTTTTTCTTCAAATAACCTTGAATAATATCAAGACATGAGAAAAACCATACATTACCAAATGTATCAGGGGGGTTACAAAAAAAAATTAGATTTCATACAAGGATAGAAATCTCCTAAAAATTATACCAGATCCAACATTATATATGAACACAAGCTCACAAAAACGTTGAATTCATAGTACACTCGACATGTACGTATCTGCTTCCCAGATATTTTTCAGTAAAATGTCATTTACTTTCAGGCATCACACAGATTTATATTTACTTGGTCATATACCGACAATATCGGTACGTCTATTTGAATACAAAATTGAAATTACATTGAATACCCTGGTTTCCATTACTATTTCTATTATGTCTGTTCAAGTAAAAATAGATTCACATAGGTAGCCCCCCACATACATGTATACTTTGGCTTGCAACTTGAAACTGATTGTTTTAAATTCAAAAATTCAAAAGATATACAGTAGCCCTGATATTCCATTTTGAGCCATAAGCCTAATACAGTGTGACTCATCACATTGCAAATATATTAAAAAATTTGTACTATACATTGCACAAATGTACCACCATGACAGCACTACAAAATAGTTCAAAAATATACACACTTGGGGGGGGGGATGTGTAAAATAAGGAGGAAATATGTACAGCAAATGGATGAAAAAAGAATTTGTCTAAGGTTTGTAGGTTGCAATGCAGCTGATTGCAGCTGCTATGCCGCATTGAAAGCATTAAACATGTGGAACAAGATTAGATCAATGTAATAATCAGTTTGTCTAATGACCAACATGATTAATTCATTTCAACAGATCTCTGAACCAACAGAAATAATAGATTACAGGCTATCGCGTAATATTAATTTTTATATGGCCGTTAGTCGGGCAACATAGACAGCTTGTTTAGCTTGCAAAATTCAAGCCTTGGTCCTAGTCATTTACTATTTAAGGAAAGATAACCCATGCTGGCATGAAGCTTTGTCTATTAAATTTGTTTTTCAAAGAGAATACATAGACTCTATAATGACTTATCAGCAACTAATAATCATTTCAATACACGTAGGGCAAGGTATCCAATTTAAACAATAATGTACAATGGTATTTTATCACAATTGTATCAACATTCAACATTTTGACCAATAAATGATCCAATCCATAGAAGAATATAAAATCATTCACTTGATGGAAGTATAAAACTGCCAATATTTACAAATCAATTTGAATCAAAGAATAAACACTTATTGTACTTCAATGAATAAAGCAGTTCCACAGAGGTTTAACAATTAATTTTCTGTCATCAGAGCCATGAATTGCAAAGTGCCAATAGTCAAAGCTATTAACAACCGAAAAACAAAAAATGCGTCATATTTCTCTGCAAAGTATATATATATATATATAACACATGAAAATCCCGAGCACAACATCAAAATTTGTTTCTTAAAAGGCAATAAATTGACAATGTAACCCATAAACTATAATCAAAAGAAGAAAATTCATCTCTATAATAAAGATTTTCCCTTTTAGACAAAATTTCCTTTCTTCACAATAGTATTTCACAGAATAACAGAAATAGAAATACATAAAATGTAACAATCTGAAGACCAAACATGGATCTCCATTACAGGAGAATTATTGCAATCATGATTTTTTGTTCTTTCTCTTTCTTTCCAATGCTTGTGCCCCAAAGCACACACCAATCCACATGGTATCTCATTTAAAAATACATCATAGAAAAGCAAATTGCACAAGTGATCAATTTCCTCACCATTAAACATGCAAGAATTAAAATTGAAAATCAAATTAATGGAAATGAAAAGCAAAGCAGTAAAATAATACATTTATTTCCCATTAAAGATTGCTGGGTTTCGCAAACAAATGTTTCTCATACAATTTTTTTTATTCGATAAGAGCATCAAAATTGTAGTCTAAGCTTCAGATTAGCTTACATTTTGCAATTGTATGAGACCAAAACACTTCCATGCAAAATCCAAGCACCGGGCCAGGAGAAAGAACTGGACTTAAATAGTTTTAAAAAATAATTATTTGCATCTTTTCTTCTTACCCAGTATTCCATTTTTCAGATTTCAAACACAGTATGAACAAGAGCATCCTGGGGGTGTTTCACAAAACTTGTCATCAGTGACAAATGACAGTTTTTGTTATAAGCTACTATGATCCTTGCTTCTGATTGGTTATCAGCAGATTTGTCACTGTTTTGGGGTCATTTGTCATTGAAAAAAGGCTTGGTGAAACACCCCCAGATCTACTATAATATTTTAGCTCTTTTATAGCTCTCTTGCTTGATTGCTTGATGTAAATTCAATGCAATGATTGCCTACGCAAAAAAAAAGAATACTGGGTCAGCATCTTCCAATATCTATGCTTTACACATACAGACAAACCCATGGCAACGACAAGCTGTAATAGTAAATTGTTGATACACTTACAAAACCTGCAAATAATGTATGATAGGGTTCATTGTGAGGAGCAAAATCTGCTTGTCACAATGCCAATGTAACCAAAGGGTTTGCCTGATGAGAAGAAACCATGGAGCCACGAAAGAAACAAGTAGAAACATGGTATACTCAAGCACATTTCCATTCTTCATACAACAACTTCATTTATGATGCAGATGATCGGGCTCATCAAGTTGCTTGAACGTTGAAGACTTCAGAACTCTCAAGGTTTCTCACCCGTACCACAAAATAAAGATATTACTCTCGCTTATGACTCCATAGCAAGCAACTTAATTCTACAGGACTAGCTAGAAATAACGCACAACTTCCTCTGATCAATAAAATCATATTTTAAGGCAAAATCATAGCATTTTTTTAAAAACTTCTCCACCCATGTACGAGCTGAAAGGCATTGCAACTCTTTGAGGTACGTTGATTCCAATTCCTTTGTTTCTATGACATATTTTTGTTGTGAGATACCTCTGGAGGAAGTCTCGTTGCTCATATAATAATATCCACCTCCTCGTTGTCGTCTGGTTTATGATAATGGTACCCGATGCCGTTCTCTTCCTTCTTCCTCAGGCGAAACTTTGTGATCTGTAGCACAAACGAGAGTAAAGGGCCAATATAAATATGTTAAAGGGATTGGGTATCTTTGTCTCAAATTCTAAACAAAATCCTGGATTTAGCTCATGCTGCAATCACAATTATAAACATTTAGGTCAGTCAGGAATCCCATGACATTTACAAGCTGGTCGTCTATCTGATTATCAAGATATTTATGATTAGAATTAGACATTTCAAAAATCGTTTTTCCAACGGTTTTTATAACATTAGTCTATTGGGAAAAATGAGTATTGTAAAACTGGTCACTCAAAGATTTCCAGATGTTTGCAGGAAACAACAAAAATATTGAGTTCATATCACTCATTAAAGGATGTAAAACAGGAATTATTCCTCCAAAATAGACAGGGTAGCAGCTATGCATTTCCACCATTCTCGGAAATTGCTCTACAAAGCGACCTACCTCAATTAGGAACAGTCCAGAGTTGGTGTTGGGGTTGGTGTAGGCATAGAAGATCCAGCCGACCAGGACCAGGACTAGAACACCAATGGCAATGGACCCGGCGATGATCCCGATCCTCAGAGCATTAGTGGTACCGTCCTTGGATGAGCCGTCACCTGCCTGAGCCATCTGACCACCCTTGTTGTTTCCATCTCCCCTCGGTGAGTCTGCACAAGATAAGAGTATAATACAGACTTTCATATATTGTATTGTGTCTTACAAGTCCACTAAGGCATTATTGCACGGATGAAGAAAAAAAATTGAGAAGCATATGACAAAGTGGCAAAACATCAATGTTTTTAAGTGTGTTTTGCAATGTGTAAAATAAATTTGTGGTGCAAAAAAAATCAACAAAAAAAATCAACAAAAAAAAAGTATTCATTTTCATGTTGTGTCTTGTGATGGATTGATATTATGTTTTATATTCCACATACAAAGAATCTTGCGCTACGATTGGTCAAAAGTAAATCACGTGATGAAAGATAGTTCGCCCATCATTGATGGGAGAAGAAAATTTTGTTGCACTATGTAGATAGTACACAGTACAACGCACTTTCACTGAAGATGGAAGTACTTTCTTGTATACGTTGCGTATACGTACGTACGTTAGTACTGCATGCACTGTACGTATCGTACACCCTTTGCTAGCTGTTAAATGATGATTCGTTTCTCTAAAATGACAGAAGAAGTGAAATGTTTCTGATGTAGAATATAAAGCAAATAATCACCTTTTGGTTTCAGGCGATGGCAAACTATCACTTCCTCGGCGATCTGAATGTATACGCTATCTTTCCTCAGCTTAAGATAGCTACATCCAGATTGCCTCGGAAGTGATAGTTTTTCCCCATCACCTTCACCAACGGTAATCATTTACCTACTGTCATATGGAGTGACATTACCCACTTGTATATATTTAAAAATAATTGTAAAACTTATTTATTTTCAGTCTTTAATCTCACTTACATTTTCCACACCGCCTTCCTGTGTACATTGTAGGGCATATACATTCTCCATAGCGGCAAGCTCCACCATTCAGACAACCTATGCCTTCTGAGCAGTCTGAAATACAAGGGGAGGGGGAAAATTTCATTTATAACGATTCTCAATACTACTAGAGGTATTACAACAGTTAAAGATACAACACTGATAATAAAGAAAGCCTTGTTTATACAGTGGACACTCGTTATTACAAGATCCTTGGGACCAAGGAAATGACATTGTTATATCAGGAATCTTGATATATCAGGGTAAAAAAAAATTATATATAAAGAGCTCGGACCAGGAAAATCACCTTTTACATGTATATCAGAGCTCTTTATACTGAGGTTCCACTGTATGCTGAACGGTATGCAGAAAGTAAAAGATGGCACAATAGATATTGATAAAAGTTGTGGGGATTCAAAAAACATGGGAACAACTATTCTCTTTGAAGTTTATGACTGGGATGTATAGGAAGTGATTTTAAATCTGTCCTTCATCATTTCTGAATTTAATACTCTACATTATGCTCCGTCTCAATCAGAAACTAACATTCATGTCTACAAATATGAAATATCGACTGAAAAAAAGACACAGGTAACAACTGCCTTCAAAATTGCACGACACCAAAATTGATGCCTTTCAAGATTCTAAACCTGTTTCATATGTGATCTTAACGATAATCTATGACATACTTCCCACAAGACATTCTACGTACCTGTGTAGATTGAAGGGTGTTTTCCCATAGTAGACCTTGGGGCTTTGGTCGTTGGTTTTATCGTCGGTAGAGGGCAGTTGTACGGAACATTAGCAGTATTAACCTGTTAAAAAAAAGATACATTCAAAATTGAATTATTTCATCTTCTTTGAATAATTCCACAATGATCAAGCTCATCCTGAAACCATTTTAAAAATATTCTCTTGTACTGCCTTTAATCTGACTTTTTAGAGCAGTTAGTTGAGCAGTTAATAATAATAAATGATAATAACGGGTTCTTGTATAGCGCACATGTCAGATATAAAATGAAATAGATATTGTGCTCTTCGAAGCTCCCCTCAACCCCCCTCATAATTTCTCTCCAGACTTCTTCCTCCTAATTTCATGGAAGTTCTAATAGGAGGCTTGTGCATACAGGCGTTAATAAAATCTCAATCCAAACCCCTACAAAAATAGTGCACATTCCTGCTATTAAAAAGGAAAGTGCTACCATCCAAAAAAGGTAGAAGGAAATGAATTCATTACATATAATACATACATCTTTGTCACACTGGGATGTAATCCATGCTTGTCTATGTCTATCGAGGCCATCGTCTGAGCAGCGTTTAGCCGTGGAGCACCAGGTACAGTTGAAGTAGATCTGACTGTTAGCACAAGACTCACAATCCATGTGCAAATTACAGGCTAAAAGAAAGAGGTTAATTAGAACAGCATTAGTATTAGTAGTCATTTGACAACAGAGATTTCAAAGAGTTGATGAATCAGGGGGGTGTTTCACAAAAATCCTAAGTCGAACATAAGTCTAAGTTGGACTTTAAAATTATGGAGCGCCATTTGTCGCCATAAAAAAAAAATATTCAAAAGCAATAAAACCATAAAATCTCCTTGATAATTGAAAATATAAATGATTTGAATCAACATTTTATGCCTTTTAAAATAACCCGTATAAAATATTATCATAGATGCTAATGCTTTTCCATAGTTGTTAGGTCCAAGTTAGAGATAAGTTCAACTTAGGATCTTTGTGCAATAACCCCCAGACTGGTGTTCAATTCAATGCAGAAGTCAGAAACGTGAGAATTTTAATCAGTTATGGGCATGGAGCCAACTGGGGGTATTAGGTTGAAGCTTTTGACTATAAGTACTTTACCCCAAGTTTAACACAGCTCCGTGGCAGAGCCAATTCTTTGGGAAGCTTTGACTGGCAGGCTTGTGGTTTTCATACATACGCAACTCATAATCCGCTATCCATAAGCAATTACATAAACATGCATTCAATACGGTGAGCTTATAGCGCAATATCTTAATGTGACATCACAATGGGTAACAGTAAGTAATTATGCTTAAGTTGGCTTACTAAATTGATATATGAAGATCAAACTCTATGATAGAGCACAGGACAACTTACTTGGAAGTGGAGTGATTGTGACGGCAGTAGCGTTGATTACCAATGCTGTATTCAAGGCAACTTGATGGTATTCATAAATGGTCCTCTTTTTGATCCCTGTAAGAAAAACATTTTGTTTAAAGTCATGAATTCCATGTTATACAAAGCCATCACGATGATACAAATAATTAAAAGAAACAGGGATTGAAGATTTTGTGTTAATTTAGTAAGAGGTAAAACAAAATTAAAAAGTTTGCTTGAGACTACTTCCATTTCTTTGGTACATACTGTACAACATTAAGGGCATTGTTATTTACAAATTCATTTCACAACTGATGATCATCTTGTTTACAGCTGCTTTGCATAATGAAGGAAATCTGAAGGCTATACCGTAACTGTTTCTGAACTTACAACATTTGTTCAGGTTTTATGCATGATGATACATCTCCAAATAAGATATAAATCAAGAGTTCTCTGACCAATGTTGAACTCTTTTGGAATTCAAAGTTAAATAAGGAAACATATGTTGGTATCTTTAAACAACTGAAGGCAACAAGCAAAAATGGAAATCAATCTATGAGCTTAGATGTAATGCACCAAAAGACGAGGAGTTGCAAGGTTAGAAATATTCAGTTACAAAAACAACAAGCACAAATGGAAATCAATCTATGAGCTTAGATGTAAAGCACCAAAAGACCAGGAGTTGCAAGGTTAGAAATATTCAGTTACAAAAACATAACCCTGATTAATACATATGATTAGTTGACAAGATTTGGATGATTAATTGAATCTACACATGAAGTCTATCCTTAACTACATGACATGGTCGCATTAAGTTACTACCAGCATCTGTGACAGTACAAAATACTGTTGTACATTGTAGGCAAGCCAAAAGTATTTGATCATTTGGTGCCACATAATTAATTATTGTATTATGAACATAAAATGATGGCAAAAGTATTTTTTGTATTATTATCATTATTTTTAATTACATTTTGTCTGATCAACACACTCTAATAAGGTTTGCAAACTAATGCAATACTTTTTAATTGTAATTTCTCCTATGATTGTTTGTAAAAATGTGATTATGAATGATCAATAAAACATATAAATATAAAAAAAACTAATGCAATACTTTATAGATACAGTCAAACCTGCTTTAGTGACCACCTGTCTACAAAGACCACATTTTGTGTTTCCCTTGAAAATGGTTTATCATTGAAACATGTACTAAAGGAACCTGTCTCCAAAGACTAAAAGAACTGTCTACAAAGACCACTGTTTGTTTCCCTTGGGCGGTTGCTATAGACAGGTTTTTTACCGTACATGAAGTCTAGGATGTGGTTGATAATGTAAGGGACAAAAAGACTTTGACATGCGGATGCCCTTTTGTCAAACTTCTATACTACTGCAAACGTGGGGAGTGTCACTTACACTGGCTCAGCTTCTGATCGATGTAGAAAGCATCAGCAATGCCCATCTTCATAGGGTGAGCCTCGTCAGAGATACTAGCAATGGGGATTGGAATCTGTTCACATTCAAACAAAACAAAGACATTTAATGGGTTTGTTCCTCGCTGCATTTGTAATTCTTAAATTAATTACATACATTATATTGTTGTTGCTCTTGTTGTTGTTATTATCATCATTATTATTATCATCATCATCATCATCATTATCATAATTATTGTTATTGTTAGTATTATCATTATCATCATCTTCATCATCATTATTATCACCACAGAAATCATCATCATCATCATCATCATCATCATCATAATTATTGTAATTATTATCAACATCATCATTATCATCACAGAAATCATTCAATCTTTATAAAATATGAAATAATTATCATTGTCATTACAATTACAATTATCCCTAGCTAAGGCAGCCATACCATAGATAAAACCTGTAAAGGGAAATTCCCCATATTCAGATATTTATTATTTTCAGACACATTCCTCTCATTTTCAGCTACTACTTAAATCAAGCTGACAGGATTAACTTCTTCATTAATTACAAGTGGATTTCATTTCTAAATGGTGAGTGTGATATTTATGAACTCAAATACCAGCAAACCTTCTACAGCAAGTTATCTCTTGAGCAAAAAAGAAGGAATACAGGGCATTCTATATGCCATTTGGACAGATGTTTTCAGAAAACAACAAAGAAATCAGGGTACATACCACTAGTTTGATAGCAAAAATTAGGAAACCCAAAACAGGATCAAAAGGCAGCTATAGATTCATTTACAGGAGTTAGCTTATTTTCTTCTTTCATTTTTTTTTCTTCCACATTCAGGAACATTAAAGCCCACTGCACTAGTTATGCCAATGGTCACTGACAGGTGGTTATCTCATCAAAGCAGCTCTCAATTAACATAAGAAAAAGGGGACCATGGGGGACCAATGGAGTGGTGAAGTGTGACGTCATCAAAAATCTAAATTTAGAATTTCTCATTTTCATTTTCCGAAAGAGCATAAAAAATAATGTCCAAATGTCGAAAAACAATTGAATATGGTAAGTAATGGCTGAGATATGACCATCTGAATAAATATATGTCCTATGGGAACTCAAGTGTTATATGCTCTGGCTCCTAATGGTTAGGAGCCAGAGCAAATAACACTGAGTTCCCAGAGGACATATATTTATTCAGATGGTCATATCTCAGGCAATATTCAATTGGTTTTCGACATTTGGACATTATTTTTTATGCTCTTTCGGAAAATGAAGAAAAAAATGAGAAATTCTAAAAATAGATTTTTACGACGTCACAGCTTCGGTACTCTATGGTCACTGATTAGGCATTGTTTTGCTATATAGAGGGCGCCAGTAGCTATAAGTAGTGCAGTGAGTCTTTAATCCACTTGCGCTTACCTGCTTGTAAGCAAAGGTTATCTGTCCGTTGTCCCTCAAGGTGCTTTGGAAGGAGAAGAGACCAGCGGTTGGGTTGTCTCCAAGCTGAATATTGGTCCATTCAGAAATGAACAGGGAGGCTGGAGATGATGGCAAGAGTCAAATAGACACTTTATCTCACAGAAATCAGTAACTATTTATTAAAAAATTGAAAATTATTGACACCACTCCCTACCCCACCCCCCCCCCCCCCCCCCCCCCCCCCCCGAAAAAAAAGAATCACTTTTTAGAATATAGTGCTAGCCTAAGCAAGATCAATCAGTAAAGATACTAGCTAGTGAGTTTCATCATACATGTATATTGCCTAATTTCTTAAAAGAATGATAACATATTACAGGAATTGACATAAATTTTGTTTTATTTCTGGACATGATGATAAATGTCTTTGGATTCGTTTGAATAAATTCCTTTCTTTTTTTTTTGGTCTTTATTTTAATCTTTATTTCTTAGATTATTAGTGAGATAGGCACCTCAGATTGCACTGTGTGAGAGCCCTCTAGTTTTCGTTGGATATTTCCATGTTTCTCGATCCTGCTGCTATTTTTGTCTACACCAGTGTGTTTATTAATTAGTAGAGGCCCTACAACCAATTTTGAAGTCTCATATAACGATTTGAAATCTCTTCTTCTTCCACTTCATATCTATGCTGTTATGTTTATTTAGTAGTAGAAGACCTACAAGACCAATTACCGGTAGACGTCTTATAAAACAATTTGTAGTCTCTTCTTCTTCATATCTATACTCACCATTAGAAAAGTACTTTATAGAGCAGTTAACTGACGCTGCGGGGTCAAAGTTCGCCATAAGAGGGGCAATGTATTGTGTCGCTGCCAGATATCGATGAACATAGGAGCCCAGGTACATAAAACCTGCATAGATTCAAGTGAAATGAAAAATACTTCTTGTTAACATGTATGTATATCGCTGGTTTTTGACAATGGCTGTAAGAAATTACAAATATGGCAGGAATATAGTAGACCTCGAGCTTGTTTCTTTGAATAGAAGCATTTGTGGATGCTAAAGAAAAATTGTGACTTATTTAATTATGATGATCACTAAATAAGGACTTCTAGGGGAAACTCAAACTGGTAACACTCTATTAGTCAATTTTGCTCTTAAAAAAAGAATTGATTTGTATTCTCAGAAAAAGAAGGGCATAATGGCTTACTTTATTAACAAGCCTACATCAACTTAACTGATCTCTGAGAAGTGACTCAGATCTGAGGGGTCCACAATTTACAGGCTCTGCTTTTCAGTGGACCTCTCCGTTTCCTCAAAATATGAATGCAGTTAAATTTAAAAATTCAATCCTTGTCTTCCTCAAATGTATTAATTAATATTAAGATTTGTTTATTACAAATGTAACTATGTTTTGTATACATTTTACATTGTATTCGTTATTATGTATTGTATTTTGTTGAAAATGAAAAAATAAAATGAAATGAAATGTGATTATCATAAATTCATCCTTACCTCCTGTTGTCAGGAACAACTCTGTCACGTTGTGTCCATAGTAGGGAAAATCAAATTCTAATTGCAGTTTCTAAAAGAAAGTAAAGAAAATGCGACAATAAAATTCCACTCAAGTCTAATTCCATTAATTGCAAGAAATTCCTTAATAATGTCATGACCTATAAATCAACATTGTATGCAACTTTGCAAAACCTTGTGCCTATTTTTTGTTATAATGACGGTCTGTGAGTAGTCTGAAAGCATACATGTAGGTTCTTAATTTGACACAAACATAAAATATTGTCTTCAGTCTTGTGTGGTAATGTCAAGCAGCTGCACATAAGACCCCATTATTTAACTCCACCCCCTATCAAAGTGTTAATGGGCGGAGGGGCTGCTCAAGCCCATTGACCCCATAAATTTTAATCCGGACCCTATAAGCTAAAAGGTAAGTGCAGACCCTGCAACTAAAGTACAAAGACCATTCAAATGTTATTACACAGCCTAAATAATGCAGATCTTGTCTTTGAAGGACATGGGTTGGTGCCTGCAAAAGTGCAAAGAACTCTGAAACTGATATTTTCAAGTACTTAATACAGGCCTAGCTTTACCAATCTCAATAACAGAGATGTAAAGTGTATCAAACATTTAACATAACAAGGTCAATTCATTTGTTTTTATAAAAAAAAACAAGAAAAAGAGGAAGTAATTATGGAATTTACCTCAACTTATATGAAAGTGAAACTGAGAGAAACCAGGATGTATATTTGAAAGTACAATGATCCTGGAATTTGAAAGGTCCATTCAGGATGTACACATTTACTACGCAGAATTTAAGTGGCCATTATATATCGTTTCCCACAGCACCACATAAAACAACGGGTGTAGGAACAGCCCTTGAGATTTAAATGTTACTTACTGCAGCTAATCTCGGGTTGGTCGACAAGTTTGGATGTTTCTTGGCTTTAAGCTTCGTCAGATCGACCCAACGTCGATTGCCCTCGTTATTAACGCTTGAGTAGTACGCCACACTGTAGTAATTATGATTATCCTGTTGAAAGATTGGTGGGAGGCAAGTGGTTAGTAATGTGGTATTAACAGAGGGTGTATACACGGTCTGACGTACGTGTAAGCGGTAGTAAATAGTTAAATAGGCATCAGCTGTTATGATTAATCATACCCTTTGGATGATGTAAGATTACCTGCAGGAGTGCTGTGTTTATACAGTCAAACTTGTCTATAAATACCACAACTTTCACTTCCTCTTGTACAGTAGTTTCTTATCAGAGCATGTACCAAAGTAACCTGTACATAAAGACCACCTGCCTATAAACATGTTTAGTAAAGACCATTTATTTTGTCTCCCTTGAGTGGTCTTCAATCATATACATGTTCCACTGTATATGCAACATAGGTTGCGTTTATCTAGGAAATTTTTGGCTAGAATCAGGTTTCTCAAACGTCTTTCAGGCAAATTTAGAAGTAGATAAACGCAAAGCCTTTTTCAAACGTCTTTAGATATGGGCATATCAAAAGACGCAAAAAGGTGCGTTTTGTATGTGACATACAGCCAGAATCACGTTTCTGAGAGGTCGATAAACGCAAAGCTGTTTTGAACGTCACATACAAATAGGACCACACAGGTGTTGTGTACAAGCATGTGTGTGAATTTGACCTCCGAGAAACTGTCTGCTTCCCGGGTCAAAACAGCTGGGCAGACACAAGGCCTTTATTTTGAATCGTGAAGAGTAGATAAACGCGACATCCCGCAAATCACGATCGTATAGTGGGGTATGATAGTGGGGTTCGATAGTGGGGTACGATATGTACATATCTAGTGGCAAGCCTAGATAAACGCGCTCATAGTGAATAAGAACATAACGATGGCATAAACAATTAGGGACGGATTCAATTTCATCATCTCCTTTCTTATTCAATCTTCCCTCATCCTCTCATGTTACTCTTAGCAGCTTTTCCATCATAATCGTGACATTCCTCTGCTTCCTAAGTTATTATTTATAGATTTTTGAAATGATATTTTAACCTGTTGCGTACACGATCCGGGTTGATCCTTTACTATGCCCTTGGGAACAAGACAACTCAGTAGTCAATGGGTTAAAGGTTAAGACCAGTATTGGAAACGCCAAAATTTCAAAAAATGAAATGGAAGCTCTTATTACCAATCACGTGAAAGAATATGTTTTGAATAATACATGATGATACAAATTTTGCCGGGAAACCGCCTACTATTTGATATATTTTGGTAAACTAGTTTATCTATTGGACTGTGAGAGATAAAAACGCACATGTCGCGCACGTGTGCGTAGTCCCATATACATCTTTCTGTGTACAGTGCTTGTAACTTTATGAAGACTGGGCCAAATTTCTTATCATTTTGATGATTCCAGAACCTTGCAGTACATCTATGCTAGATGATCAACCTTTTCTGATCGATTTCACGTTTCTTTCACAATGCAATCGCATGACCATAACTGGTCTTTATCTTTAACAAACTGTTTGGGGGGTATGATATCAATCAAAGTGTTCTAGGCAGCAAGAAGACCAAATAAAGCAAGAGGACCAAAAAAAGCAAGCATCGTAACACACTTCTCAAAAAGCATAGAATCATGAATTGATATAGCTACATAGATGTGTTTACTAAAGGTCACCGCTGTTTGTTTACATGCATGTAGATTCAAATCACTGAAAGTTTATCGAAGGGGTCAACTAAGGCAGATCTATTTCCAAAGCTAATTCTTTGCAATATCCCATTTCGATATGGAACAGCTTTGAAATTGATCTCTGTCACGATGATACCCTTTGATCCCTTGGCTAAAGTCACTAGGCCTGTCCTCATCAGCTCGAGATTGCCAAATAGCCCGCTATTTCTGAGTTTGGAAATAATCCTGAAGTTACAAAATCGCGTCTTATTCAGCTCGAGACTTGACCTTGAAACTTGAAACTCGAGCTCGAGGAATAAGTTCGAGATATTCTACTCAGTGTTCGCGCATAGTGCAAGTCTTCGGGCTGGTGAGGACGCACCGGACAAATAGCGGGATATTTTGCAAACTAGCCCAAGATATCTTTGGATGATTATCTCAACCAAATATCTTGATAATTGCAACTTCGGGCTGATGAAGACGCAAATTAACTGGATAATTTGCGATTGGGATAGTTCAAATAGCGGGATATTTGGCAATCTCGAGCTGATGAAAACAGGCCTACAGGGATATTTTAGTAACCTGATCATCCCGTCATGCGATCATGCTATGATCCAGTATTAATCACTGGTATTTCATATTTCCTGTTCTCCAATACACCGTTATTAAAAAACTGAACTCTTATCTAAACTGATATCATCAATTGCTTGTACTTTGTATTCAAGTAATGACATCCATGTAAATATTGTAGTTTTTATTGCTTGTACATGTTCCATCTGTATTAAAAAATACTCCAAATATTGTACTTTTTGTGAAGAAGAGTAGGTGGACATCCTTTAGTGGGTAAATGATATAATGATTTTTTTAATTTTTTTTTATCAATCATTGTCAATGTCTTTTGCCTCTTTACAAATGTGTGGTGTTTCCATTTTCTGACCCCACCCCTTTACCTCCTCATCAATCTGTACGTAAATTGACTTATCAAAATTCACATTCCACATTGTGGTTGATGTGGAGTAATAATATGATTAAAGGGCCCTCAGGGAGAACAGTACTAATGCTGATGAGGCTACCTTGAGTAAACAAGACACTTTGCAGTTTTATAATTATTATTTTCATTATCATTATTCTTTGTCTTTCTCAAGCGCAAGCTAAGATCACTTCATGTTCTCTTATCTTCCTCTTCCCTAAAATAGAATATCATCCACTAAAAAAAACTTGACATACAAACAAACTGTACTGCAAAATGTGGTTTCTTCTGAGTAGTACATGTGTACTTCAGACCCACTGGCAATATAATAGGATTACATGCGTATTACGACGCACACACTTGAAGGTAAGCTGAGTCAGAGAGTTGCAGACGTATAAAGATCAAACTCAATTTGTGACGTTAATGTGCTAATTTGGTTTGATGTCTGACAGGGTCTGACAGGGGCGACAGGAAGAGACTAAAGAGGGAGGGGGGAAGGAGGAAAGAGAGAGGGGGAGGGAGGAAGGTGTGAGAGGCCGGCTAACGCACGCTGCCTACTCTGTGTACAATGTGTACGTAGCTCATAGGTACTGTGTACATTCGTTGTAAATGTCTTGTGTTCAAATAAAATTGCATGCAGTACAAAACATTTCACCAAAGTGAACTACATGTATTATAGAAATCGAGAGAAAAAACCTCATTCATAAAAAATGAGTATGGCTATTTGTAGAAAGGAGATTCAAGAATTATGTTTGTATCATTTATAGTAGCCGAGTTGAACATAGCATCTCAATATACATTGTATGTAATATGTTAATAGCACAGATGCTTTTTTCCAAATTAAAGTCCTGACAGAACACTTGACTAAATTCTCTTTTTATCCTCTTTCGCACCAATTTTATATGTGTTTGCAACAAATTTGTATTTTAACTTTATATATGTACAGCTACATGTACATTCCTTTGGGTATTTTGACATCTCCTCTGTGTGAAGCCAGAAGGATGTTTAATCTGTGTAACAGAACATAAGTTATTGCCCTTCTGGCACCAAACAGAGGTTGTTCAAATGTACTTACCACTGTTGTGATATTTTCTGTAACTGGAGTATTGTCTACTGCTTGTCGGACTGTCCGATGTACATGGTTTTCTCTGAATTCAGGATTGTATATTGCTTCTTCTTGCTCTAAATGAAGGTTGTATTCTACAGAGAAAAGACAAGTAGAAGAGAAGGCATGGAAAAAATGAGATTAGATGTAAACAGTGCGATGCAGAGAAAGCAGTAACAAAACATATTATGGGAGAGGAAAGAAAAAAGAAAGAGGTGAAATAGAGAATCAAAAACAGATACTGAAAAGCATAAAAACAAGGGTTTAAGGTTTTTAAAAAATAACAGGAATCTACTCATAAATATAGTATGCTGAAAATTGATTGGGGTTGTCATTAATAAAATTTGTTCATAACTTTTATATTTCCCCTTATGCTACAATTTGTTGAAACATTTACCTCCTCAATAATAGTAAACAATGAGAGGAATCTATTCATAAATATAGTATGCTGAAAATCTGAAAATAGATTTGGGGCTGTCACAAATAGAATTCGTTCATAACTTTCATGATATTCTGGATATCACTGAAAATAAATATATTTAAGATAATAAAATATGATAGGATTACAATTTTTTTTATCCAATTGTTCAACTTTTCTCAGCAGGAATTTTCAGTGCTTTCCCTGAATCTATAGTACCCCTGAATCTATAATTGCATGAAACATTTACTTCCTCAATAATAAACATAAGAGAAAACTATTCATAAATATAGTGTGCTGCAAATGGACTTGGGGCTGTCATACAAGAATTTGGTCATAACTTTCATGGTATATCTGGATATGACTGAATATAAATACATCTCATCTAACATAATAGGACGATAGGATTACAATTTTTTTATTGAACTGTTCAACTTTTCTCAGCAGAATTGTCAGTGCTTTCCCTGAATATACAGGACCCCTGAAGCTATAATTGCATAAAACATATACTTCCTCTGGCTATGAACTTTGCAATTCCTCACTTACATTTTTCTATTTATACATACATGTCAGGCAATGCTGAAAATGGATTTGAGGCTGTCATAAATAGAATTTGTTCATAACTTTCATGATATTAATATGATATGACGATGGGATTGCATATTTTTTATCCAATTGTTCAACTTTTCTCTGTGCTTTCCCTGAATGTATACAGGAACTATAATTACATGAAACATTTACTTCCTCTGGCTATGAACTTTGCATTTCCTCATTTTAATTGATCTATTTATAAGTTTTCTATTTTAATATACATACATGTAAGCCAATCAAGGAGAACCCTCAATGCACTGGTTCCAAAATAGAATTCAATACCGGCTCAATTATTTTCATACTGGTATACCCATTAACCTCTTAGGTTTATAATAGCAAGCAAGGTCAACTCTCATAATAATATGACATTTATACTGATTGATGGATTCCTCTGGGGTGTCTATCTACTGTTCTACCCTATTTTAAAACACAAGTATCAATCATACACTGTTCATTGTACTGTGTGTGCAATGTTCTGGAAACTATAATTGCATTAAATGAAAATGATGTATTTGTATTTTTCATTTCAGAATAAAGGACTTTACGTTAATAAATAACAAATAAATAAATATGACATTCATATTAATTGGAGGGGTCCAATAGAGGTGTACTGTATATTGACTGGTCGTAATATTATGAACAAGAGTAAAATAACAGTGATTTCCTATTGAAATCTATTTATTTGAATGGTCATATCTCAGCCAATACTAAACATATTCAATTATTTTTTGATGGTCTTTTGGAAAATGAAATTCAAATTGAGAAATTCTAAAAATCATTTTTATAATGATGTCACAGCTTCGGTATTCTATTGAGGTGTACTATATATTGACCGGTCTACCTGTTTTAAAACACGAGCATCAAGCATAATCATGTACTGTACTTTGTAAATATCTAATCCATGTATATTTGGCTTTATACGGGCATTGTCATCCTGCTATTCAATCATACTTCTTCTAAACATACAACCCCAAAATGCAGCCCATGGCTCAACATGTTAGATTGTTTATTTTAATATTTAAATATTCACTTTTAACTATGCATGTCTGTACTTCCTTCTCTCTTTTTTTTTCTCTCCTATTTTTTTCTTTTTCTTTCTCTTTTTGTTTTAGTTCTCTGTTGTCTGTTGTTTTGTCTGTACACGTATGTGTATGCACTGCTCTGTTATGTTTCATTGTAGGTTTGTTTCTTTTTGCTCAAATATTATCTACTCTTTCTTTTTTTCTTACCTGTTAACGAATGGCACTCTTTACACAATAAAACAAGAAGGTATGCTAATGACAGCATCCATGCTGGTGATGTAGTTGCCATAGTGATGGCTTCCTGTTGAGCACCTGCTTCTGACTCTTAACTTTCACACATCAACGGAAATCTGCGGAAGACAAGAGGAGAAAGAAGTAAAAGAGGGGGAATACAATGAATGCATTTACATGCTTGAATGGTACGTCATTTTATTTCAAATAAATATGCATTTAAAAGTCAATAATAGATTTACAAGTAGAAGAAAATAGATAATACACTGAATCTGTCGAGATTGCAAGAAATAGTACAACTTCTGCCAAATTTAACTTCGGAAGTGTATATACACAACACATGTAACACATGTTTTGCATAGTTTGATCTTGATGTTCTTTTTTAAGATTTGACTCATTCGACTTGTGGGACTTATCCAATTCTCAATTCAATCAAGAATCTAGATTTTAAAAACAGGCAAGTAGGAATATTCTGGTCTGTCCTCAATATGACTTTTCGTAATGTCATCAAATTGAATGCACAAACCTTTGTTAAGTGCCTCATCATTACGAGTCATTTCATTTAACTGTTAAAATATTGTATTTCAATAGTCAGAATGCATATTGCCTACATTATGTGTTGTTAGGTAGGACAAACCATAATGTTTGTCCTACTGTACCTAGAAACAATTAATTTACCGTATTCAATTCGCATTCTGACTATTGAAATACAATCATTCATAAAAGGTGAATGAATTCATTTGTTACATGACACCTAACAAAGATTTATGAATTGAAATTGATTAAATTGTCTATTAGAAAACATGCAAGGTCAGATCAGATGCTGTTTTTATGAATTACTAGTTTGAAAGAACATATGGCATATTTCTCATAACTAACTCTTTCCAAATACTACATTTTATTCAAGTGTAATACCATACCTAAAAATAAACCTTGGTCTAAAAACTATACATACATGTGCATGTAGATGCAGTGTTCATGAATGATATTGATGTTTTCTTTTTTGTTTTAGAGGGGGAAAATGTTGATAGTCCAATTGTCATACTAGAAATATCTGGTTCATAAGACTGTTAACACTGTATAAGAAACCAGTCATTTTCCCAAGTAAAAATAAATAAATCAGTATATCTCTCATAAAGAAAATTAAAAAAGTCTCTTTGCCATCATGAATAAGACCAGTGGAGTTTTAGATGTAGAAAGTACATGTACATGTACAGTGTACATGTAGCAAGTTTCCTTCCTTGGGGGAATCTTGCGACATTGGGTAACTCTTATGACAGGTCTGTGGAGACTGTGCTAAGCAACAACCAAGTGCAGGGAAATTGACGTATGAAAAGTGGAGCACACATTAATTACAAATGTCACAATACTGACTCAGAAATAATTCACATACTTCGCGTAACTCTAGTACTTCAGTATGATTCTGACCTTTTTGGTTTGTTCAGACTTAACTCTTTTTATCACGCAATGAATGAAAAAGATGGGGTCTTTTTCTTCAGCCTCCCAATGTAGTTGTCAGAGACTTGTTTTATGTCTACCGGTACATGAATCAAAGTTCACATACACTTGATATGTACATGTTCTATCCCTTCATGCATTGTACCATTTGTATGCAGGCTATACCATACATTTGTTGTTCAGTACATGTGTACCTTCATTAACGGGACCCCTATTTGAGGAGAAATTCTAAATATATCTACTAGCAGCTGACCTTATCAATTATATTCCCGCAACTAGGAACAAATAGCATGTACATCTACATCTATGTATGTATGTGACCCATTTTGAGGCACTGATTGCATGTTCAATAATCGCCATGAAGTACAAGGACGTTATGAACAGAGCAGGGATGATGACTACATGTACATCATTAGCCTATAAATGTACATCAATGTGTAATGTAATCAAAGCATTTTGTTTCCCAAAGAGGGTGAACTGGAAACAAAGCAACCGATTTGGGAAACTGATTTGTCCTCACGATAAGCCTTGGTGTCTAAAAGGCATCTTCCAGAAAACCTTTGGCCATTTTCCAAGGATTTAATTAACTCCTGTAGGCCACCTTCCAGCTGACTTGTTACATCACTCATGGTCCCCTATAGACCAACGTTTTTTAATCAGCTTCCAAACTCTGCCTTTGAAAGCATGAAGCCTTTGAAAGCATTAAGCCACTGAATCAAAGCTTGCATTCGTGACACATCAGGCTTATTATAGCCTATGTATTAAACATGCATGTACATGTCGATGCATAATTGCACAGGCCAAAAACTGCTGTGACCACGCAAAAGTTAAAGTTACATGTAGGTTAAGAGCTTCTTTATTGAACATCTCTTTGCTGTTCCTGTTCCACCTAGTTCCTATGCCAGAGATAATGAAACACTTTTTCATGGTATAAAGCAGCTTTCAAGAATTGCAAAGACATGGTGTTGTGTTAATTATGATACAACTATTTCCCTGCATAAAACAATCATGAACCTGAACCACTCATGAAATTCACAAACATTTAATGCACATGAGAGTTTCTGGTACTACAATAATCTGCATGCCTACAGTGTATACGTGTACTGTATATCTTTTTATTAATGGCTATGGTATCTATTGCCTATAAATTGTTCACCGCACAAACTTCAATATGCCCTTTTTATGATCTAAATATATGACTAATAACCATTTTTTTTTTTCGTAAGGGGTGTTTTTCACAAGGGTGTTCAACAAGAAATTTATCACAAATGGTCATGGCCATTTTAATCAAGAGTGAAGTCAATCACAACTTCACTTAAGATTGATAACGACTGGTTTGCAGGCACCTTGTCGGTCGTTGTGCGTAACGAGGTCTGAACTAAGACACTAGGCTGATGGCATACTGCAAAGGCTTTGTACTTTAGTTTCTGCAGACACAGCCAGTGACTGACAGAGCTAGGCTCTACTCAAGGCTTCATGAATTGTGGTAAAGTGTCAAAGTAGAGTCTGTACCTGCAGACCAGGGACCCGTTTCATAAAGCCTTTTTTCAATGACAAATCTGCTGATAACCAATCAGAAGCAAGGATTTCAGTAGCTTATAACAAAAACTGTCACTTGTCACTGATGACAAGTTTTGTGAAACGCCCCCCAGGGCCCCATCTTACAAAGAGTTGATATCAATGACAACTTATTTCAATTGATATCAATCGCAACTATAAACATAAGAGATAGGAGACTGCAAACTTGCGATTGATTGGAGGACTTGTGATTGATTTGGATCAATTGCAACTCTTTGTAAGACGGGGCCCAGATATCAACTGCGACTCTACATGTATATATGCCTTTCAGATGAAATTCAGAGGTGACTACAATTGTGCAATTGATTGAAGGACTTCCAATCGATGGGACAACAACTTCCTCTACAGATTAAATTCTCAGGAAATATTATGCTTTTAATGTCAACACCCCAACGCATTTAGAAACATTGTAATTTCCGGCAGAAAGACATCCCGCAATACTCACATGATAAGGCTCCAAACAGCTGTGATTCTGCCTGTAAAAAGCTGGATCCAAAGTAGCTGTAACTCCTACATGTAATTCTCTCTTAGAGTTCTTAGAGTTTGTGTTGACTACACGGTATCTGTTGTAAAAGAAAAATGTGTATCAGGTTAGTGTTTTGTTGGCTTGTTCCAAAACAATAAATAAGAGAAATAGTACAAGTGTAAAAAAAGGAAACAAACGCTTTTCATTTATAACTTAATTATTATAATATACATGGATTATTAAACTTTTGTTACATTTCTTCATACATGTATGTTGTTTAAAAAAGGATAATGTTTTCAAATCAAATATTTCACAATATGTCAAATCTGTATAAACTACAATGTGAGTTTTTTCCTGTATTGTCCCCTAACCAATCCCATTACAGGATTCTGAATCTATTTCTGCTCACTGCATCAGGTTTGGGCATGCCTGGTATAGTGCACCAGCCAGATGTGAATAAGTTGTTTGTATGTTTGTAGTTTGTATGGAGGCTACCAGCACTTTGTGGGCAAATAACAGTAGAAAATGCAGGTACATTATTGCATAACTGATGTCCATTGGATGTTTAATTCAAACGTTAACACAAACTGCACATTTCATTTGACCAAGAAGTTGATTTGACTTATGTGTACATATGTGTATGAAGATTTATTGTTCTATTATCCTATGTAAAGAATTACAAATGTAAGGGGTCCAGTCTTAGATTTGTCCCGGGTGCATGTTGGTGTCTATAGTCGTGATGTGAAGTAACCAAGTATTCATGCTATTTAGACGTTCAGCTGATGATTTTTTTTTTTTTTTAACGGACAGGGGGTGACTTGCCCCTATTAAATCAGTTTCAAGATGTACATGTAATGCCACAATATGATCCCAAGAACATCATGGCCGTATCAGATTTGGCTCAAAATAAGCCATCAAAACATAAAATTGGATTTTTAGCTCTTCTCTACATCATGCTATGATATCATACATGAAACAAAAACAAACACAGGAAGATTACCCATGTATGTGTGTTTGCAAGTCACGCAGGATGTTTTGATTTTAATTAGCTCAACTAAAACTGCTTTGCAAAAATCCCTTCCAAGGACAAGAAAAATGGAGAGTGTCTATCATACACTTGAAAGCAAGCCAAAAGAAACAATATTTTTCCTCGGAAGGAGGGGAAAGGGGGGGGGGTGTGAGGTAATTCTTCTAGAGACTCTGCCAGATGTAGTATCTTAACATGATGTACATGTCGGCCTACGTATATTTACTACTTCACAAGCCAATGTCGTTTCACTTTTAAAAAATACATACAGGATACACTGAGAGACAGGATATTCACTGAAAGACAATATTCCAGGTAAAACCACAGTGTTGGTCAAGTTTATGCCATGGATTTGGGGAAAATTATTATTTCCTTCATGCCACTAAATAGTACATGTATCGCCCATGATCAGAATGTTTAATTAACTAATTTCCTTATAATCCGGACAAAAGTAGCCTTGAGACCTCTCAGGGGATCAGATTTTTTTATCGATATCATAACACAATGTTCAACCACAGAAAGAATTAAAACCCATTAAAAAAATTAACTTATCAATAATGATAATCTATGGAGTCCTGTACTCCTTAAAGTTGGCAGCATTGCATTTCACACTTTCTTGCATTTTGTTAAATTGATTCAAATCAATCGCAACATAGAAATATAGCAACTGTGTAGTACTTACAAGATTGATTTGAATCAATCGCTACTCTTTATAAGACGGAGCTCAGATGGATGAAAAAACGTGTAATCCTACTTCTATTTACAATGTATCATATCAGGAAGGTTATCACCCATTCAGAATTTCTCTTCAAAATGATAAACAAAGCTTAGAGCATCAATTAAACATGTTTATCTAAAGGTAATATGGTAGCAGTGCTAATTTGCGGCATACAGAAACCATCTGCGTATTAAATTCTTTTTAGTCTAGATATGAAATTCAAAACAGGTTTAGATTTAAGAGCTAAGTATATGATAATGATGATCTACAGCACTTGTATGGCGCCATTTATCTGGTTTAAACATTCAAAGACGCCGCTCCTCCAATACTGAATAGTCATGGACTACACATTTGCTGAAAAGATGGATTTTAAAGCCAGCTTAAAGCGTTCTAGCTTGTCGGTATTGCGAATATATATTGGAAACTCTGTGGTTGTCATTTCTAGTTTTGACTAACCATACACTTATAGTTGCAATTTTGAAGGTCACAATCTCTTTAAACTGACAAGGGCTGTATCAGTGAAGGGTGGTATTCCTTGGGAAGAGAGATATAGAATTCTGGATTACCGTTTATACATGTAGGGCTTTACGGGGTGCCTGTTCTAAGCACCCTGCAAAATGAAAGGATCAGGAGGGGATTTACGAGGATTACCTTTGAATGACATGAATAAGATTATCATGCAAACGCACATGAAAACACTTCTACCATTCGTACATGGGAGAAACCTTGAAACACATTGAAGTAAAAGAAACCAGTTTATAATGTTTGAACATCTCCTGAATGGTATACAGTCATTTACACCTTCATTCTGTACAAATATCGAGCAATAAAGATGTTATAAAACGGGTCTGCATGGTGTATCAAATTAATACAGACCTACATCATCTGTCCAGAGCCAGACGAGTATCAACACTGTGTGCATGAATATGACTTATTACACTTCAGCCTACTGAGCCTAGCATTACAACAGAAATATAGGTCAAGAAACATATTGTACATTTTTTTACATTTCTTAAAGCTTTGTTTTTAAAAATAACAATATTAACAAAACAACATTTTACAGACATTAATTTGTATGTTACCTATTCCTTGTACATGTACGTACTGTATGTGGAAGAGTTTGTTCATGAACATTTTCACAGCTCATCATTTTCTGTAGCTTCCCTTTTCTTTGTCTCTAGTACTATTTAATTATTAAATTAACGATTGAATAAGTGATATTCAACTAAATGAACTAATGAACTCCATGAGAAGGATGTGTCGCCAGAGAAATCATAAAAATCCATTCCAAGGCAACATAATGTCTGACAGGGCCTAGTGAGATCCAGTACCAAGACCAAGCAATTTACACCAGCAAGATGAATGATTAATAATGGTACCATCTTCTTCTATGAAGGTCTAATAGGATTACTAATTAGTCTACCACTGCAGACGTGATTCTAGCCACAATTTCTAGTGGGGCCTTGCCCTTACGCAAGCAGGTTATTTGCCGATCAGATTTGGCAGGAAACTGAGTTCAAACATTGTGCAGGTATGTGTTGTAAGAAGCCATGTGACCTCTGTGTAAAGTACACTGTAATTACAAACACATCAGAATGAAAATACACCAAGAAAAAGAAGTTATTATAGACATCGTCTTCATTGATAATACCTCTGTCAGTAATGTTCAAGGCTACAATCTTTGCAACAAAGAAGAACCAAAGAGATAATCACCTCAATATGGTGTTATCTCTTTTTCCTCCCCCCCCCCCCCCCCCCTCCTCCTTCTTTTTGTTACAAAGTACTCTCTTTTTCTATTTTCTAGAGAAAACCAGAGATTTTTTTGGAAAAAATGCCTAATTGCTCATCACCGTTTTCCCCTGTTACTAGTGCCCAACCTTCTCTTCAAACAAGCTCTCTGAAGAAAAAAATTGAAATAACTTATGTACAGATAACCTATTATGAACATTGCATTAGTCATATCTGTTGGGACCACTAAGAAAAAGACTACCGGTAGTTCTTATGTAAAATTTAATTTAAGAAGTGTTTTGCATAGTTTCATATAAAAATTAATAAAATTAAAGACTGGACTTGGGAAAAGTTTGACAAGAGGGACTTTTGACTTCTGCAGAATTAACTGTATATTCCCATGATGTGCTTTATAACTGCTATTTGATATAGCTTTCTTTTCAGATAACAATCATAATAAGCTGTTAAAGTATCAGATTTTAATGCAGGCATTATGAAGACTTTGTATCTTTGATAACAAATATGACAATAAGATAAATGAAATATAATACTCCCAACATTGAGTGCTGACTGTTCAGTGTTATTATCAACAATAAAGTTTTACAATTGAAAGATGTAATGACAAATGTTAAACAAATATGAAAATACAACTTAAATAAATCTAGTGTTCGGTGTTCATTGTTTTTATCAACAAGAAAGTTGTACAATCTAAAGATATACCGGTAATGACAAATGTCATACAAATACTGATATGAAAACTTTTTTTTAATATGTCTAACTAATTCTGTACAGTTGTAAACATTCTGTGAGGCTGTAAAGCAATCTAGACCAAAGACAGAGATTATACAGCAGTTACTCACCAGAATGTCTATCAGATGCTGAAAACATTACTTCATAAGCCCAAATAAAAAAGATTATACAGCAGTTACTCACCAGAATGTCTATCAGATGCTGAAAACATTACTTCATAAGCCAAAATAAAAAAGATTATACAACAGCTACTCGCCACAGAGTCTATCACTAGTATCAGATGCTTGAAAACATTACTTCATAAGCCAAAATATTAAACAACAGCTACTCACCAGAAAGTCTATCACTATCAGATGCTGAAAACATTAATTCATTTAATAGCACAACAACAACAACAAAAAGAATCCTCCACCAACAAAGACAAACAGGACTAACAAGAGTCTCTCAGCGTCTAGATACCTATGATGTGTATGCTCCTCGATTAAAATGAGAGGGTAGAAGAGCCCCTTATTGTCAACTGACGACACTAATGACGGACTTCCTTCTCCTAACTAGTGCCCTACTCAAGTCAGGAAATCACACAAGTGTGCTGTACGAGGCCGATGCACGTGGGTCTAACGATTCCCAAGACGTACCTTCCTCTCCCCTCATAATCGCTGAGACATTTCTCCCGGAATGAAGAGGCGCTTTCTAAATTTAGATCGCTGAAATATGTCCTTGATATCTTTCGTTAAGCTCGTCTGTGCAAAGGGAACACGATAACATAAAAGATCAGGAATCTACAATGCAGCCCCCCTCCCCTGAGTTAGTATACTACAGTACATGTATGTAAATTTGTGTGAATTAAAATGTGTACTGAAGTGGTAGTTATGACTTCATTGTTGTGTCAATTAACAAGAGCATATTCTGCTCAACTTCAATCGAATCCAGCCTCTTGAGATATTACAAGTACTCTCACTTTCACAGGAAATAAAAGATACAATTTAAGTACCAAAAGACATCGAGACGAAAACTGCTTGGTCCTGGAAAAGCTCATATTCATCTTAATAAAATATATGGGGTATAACTTTGTATAAAAAAATAACACTACTTGCCCAATTGAACATGGAGATTGTATAGGCCCACGAGTACAAGGATATTTCCCTACTTTGGCCTACCTGTGATGTCTTATCCTATGAACACGTTTGCTCTGAAATGATGTATGATCAGCTCTATTCGTTCTATTCATGTGCTCTTGCGGTCCTGAACGGAAGTCCCTATTCGAACGTTCCATGAATTACTCATCATTTAAAGGTACTGGCACCCCTACCTACTACCTGTACATTATACTCTGTATTGACTGTGACGAGTATGCACGCAGTATGGTATTATTCACTGGCTGCCTTCATTGTTCATTTCCATTGGACCTTTTCACAGACCGACCGAAAGGCAGGAGGCTGAGCTTGACTCACTTCCAGAAACCATGCCAGAAACCATGCCATAAACCATGCCATAAACCACATCGGTAGAATGATATCAATGTGAATCAATAGTAGGAATGGACAGAAAGGGACATTTGTAAATGTGTATGTCTGCATTTTAGGGACTTTTAGATTGAGTGAACGAGAACGGCGTGAACATTCACTGATCGTGCGTGTCCATGGCAAGCCGTTTTAACATTTAATCTTATTTCTTGATATCAAGAAATGATTTTCTATATCAAGAAATAGGAATAAAGGTTAAAACAGCTTGCCATAGACACGCCTGATCACTGGACGTTCATGCCGTTCTCGTCCACTCAATATAAAAGTCCCTATTATATTCTGGAAGTGAAGTACAAAATGTACAAGAATAGTGTTACCGTTCATGTATATTGGAGGACACATGTGAACATGCCAAACATAACAAACATGTAACATGAGAAGAGCAACAAGAAAGAGTTGTACTTTAAAAGAGAAAAACAGATACCGGTACTCACTTAAGTTTACAAAGATTTTTCGGTGAATAGCACATTAAAGTCCAATGACATAATTGCCAATTCATATCTTTATTGATTTATTGATTTTTTGTTCAATATCACTTTTGTTATTAAATGTCTAAATGTTAACTGTATCTTTTGATTTCACACACAACTTGCCAGTAAATATTGGTTTGCACTTTAAAAAGAACCTTATAAAGTTTCTTTGATTCTCCTACTCAAAACTTAAAAGTGTCCACTTTAAATGCAGAGCAATTCACATTCACACACTTATTCCATTTCTAATTCTACAGGTAATTAACGATTTTAAAAAATTGCAAATAAAATAATAACACACAACATACATGTACGGTACATGTTTGTATGTAATGTACAGTACATCTGTATATTTTAAGATGGCGGCAAGCAAGAGTGTTTACCGCACACTAGAGCATGACTGAACATATGAATCTTAGATGCAGACATGAAATAACATGAATAATAGGTTACAAGTACATGTTCCATGAACATGTTCGAATTCTGAAGAGTTCATATGAAAGGCAGGGTGAGAGAGTCTTACCCCCTTGGATTTTGTAAACGGGAGTTCCTTCCCCGGAAAGACTGAGTTTATTTTTAGTTCCTCGTGATCGTATATATAGATGATGCACGACAGACCTGTGGCAGGGATTAATCCCTTCAGTGTGTTAGAGCGAGGTGGCGAATGGCACAAATATATTTAGGCGGATTTCTCTAATTTTAGCTAAGAAATTATGAAATACCCACCATTCTAAAAGTTGCTAAAAGTAATTCTTCTTACTTCTTCCCTTTTTCTTCTTCCTTCTTTTTTTTTTTTTTCTTCTTCTTCTTCCTTCTTGTGATGGGGTGACCACAGTTCGCAGAAGTTTTTTTGAAATATCAAAAAATGTGATATTCAACCCCATGATTTTTCATATTCTACACAAATATATTTATCAAAATAATTACCAAATGGACTGCAAAGTGTTTGACTACAAATTGGTGCAACTAGAAAATTTATCGTAAAAGAGCCTACAAAGTCCCTAAGAGGAAGATTAACTGACTACTACTGTGGCTGATTACATGTGACTTTCATGAGTCTTTTGTAAACTCATCCCCCCCCCCCCCCACCCTCTTTCTTTCTTTCTCTCTCACACTCTCTCTCTCTCTATCTATCTTTCCTTCTCTCCACATGATGTTACATAATCTCTTCATATTCAGTTTTTCTTCTAAAATGTTTGCACTAGAAACTTTGCTTCTAACAAACTAAAAGACGTATGAATTGTCTTCAAATGTTTTAGAATTAAACATATGACTTTCATTCAAATTGCAAACTGTCAATCTAACTAAATTTATCGATAAGCTTCATAAAAATTCATATATGAAAATAAATTGATTCAATAATATACATTTCAAAAAGGCCAAAAATGAAGTATAAAATCAATATTTAGAAAAAGTCAAAACAATTGGTCAAACTAAAGACCAACTTTTATGATCTTGATTACAGATAAAGCTATTTTGAATGATAAAACTTACCAGTAAACAACACGTACATGTATCTCCAATAGGTCAATGAAGATGAGCGATGGGAAATAGTCAATAAAATCCTACGGCTGACACGTTAACATCCTAAAAGGTTTGGTCTACACTCCTAAGTCACAAACAAGTTTGCCCACTGTTCACCCAAGTCCCAAGTGCTAATAAGCGACTGGATTGGATCTTTGCCCCTCCTTGCCCCCTGATGCAGTATAAATACTGAGTAATTCAAGACTAAGCATATTTCCCGGTCACATGCCGGTGAATATGATCTCGATCAAAAAGTCACCAGCGTAGATCGTTGACTTACTCGACTAGTCTCGGTGTCATACGCAGACCCCTCCAAATCCAGGCACCTCGGCTTCTGAGCCTGAATCATTTGCATTTCCCCAAAATGCACAGACTACACCCCCCCCCCCTCCCCTCCCCTCCCCTTTTTCTTCTACTCGTAATCATCCATATTGCAATTTGTTTATCTACACACAGTTTTTTTTTTTAGGTTTTCTTTGCGATTTTCATTTGAAATCTATGCTTTGCCAAATCATCAGTTATTTACCCTTCCACTCAATTCCAATTTTTAAAAATACACATATTTCGGACAATTATTACACATCAATAATACATGTTTCTTTTGTTTTCATTTGAAACTACCCTATTCTAGACATTCCAGTTTAGTAAAAATTATTAGTAGGTCTCTCAGTGTCATGCTGCATACAGTGTACACTGTAATTTGTCATCGCTACAAAAGAACATACCATAATTATTACTCCCAATACCCATTCATCATTCATATATTCCTCCCCCCCCCCCCCACAAAAAAAAGTTATCAGTTATGCCAGTTATCGGGGCATTTTTAATTTTTAGGGTGGGAAGGAGGTTATTTGGAACCATTACACCTCAAGCAGATATAGCAACTGGAGTTTGGAGTGGGTATTACTCATATTTCTAAATGGGGAAAAAGTGTTAATGAATTGAGTTTCATCAGTGTGAAAATTAAAAACATACTTCAAAAAAGTAATCAGCTATCCACTTTGACTCACATGTGTACATGTAATAGTCTCTCTTTCTCTTCTTCATTTCATTTAATAATTTTATTATGTGCAAAGTGTATTTGTATAGTTACCAGAAAAAATGAATTATGTGTGGAAAAAAATGTAATATCTTTGTTTATCTTTCTGTTGGAAATGAAATAAATATGAATTGAAAAATCAAATTGAATTGAATTGAATTTAGGGCTTTAATTATATTAAGAACAAAGCTTGCAGAGGCAGACTATGAAATTCACAGGAAGACTGGATGACATTAATCAACACCTCTTACTTTCAACCTTTAATTACCTCACCCATGATCATTTGTAGAGCTTATAACAGTTTCACTTTTCATTCATCTCCATCCTCCTTTACATATCTCTTTATCCTTCCAAATATATTTTTGTTTTGTTTAACATAAACACTTACAGAAGTCATCAATGATTTTAATTGTACATGTATATGGGGGTTTTAGTGGTAACACACTCCTTTTCCTTTACCAAAGACTGAGAGACGGACTCAAGCTAGTCTGAAAGGAGTGAAAGCGCAGACCCTAATCAAGGCCCACCGACTGCAGTCTCTGTATAGTCTCCTAGCTCAGACCCTCTTGTGAGCATTGTGAATGACAAGGGTCTGTGCTAGTCTGCAAGGAGTGCAAGCACAGACCCTAATCAAGGCCCACGGACTGCAGTCTCTGTGTAGTCTCCTAGCTCAGACCCTCTTGTGAGCATTGTGACTGACAAGGGTCTGTGATAGTCTACATGCGCAGACTCTAATTTGACACTTTACCACCATTCCTAAAGCTTTGAGAAGAGCCTAGCTTTGTCAGTCTCAAGCTGCCTTGTCCAGAGCATATGCAGTATGTCAGAACAGTCTCACAGCGCAAACACTGTAATGTACAGCGACTGACAAAGGTTGTGCCTACAGACTAGGGCTGCGACGTGTAGTCGAATGCTCGAGTACCCGCACGGTTGAAAACTACTCGGGTACGATTTCTCGTACCCGAATATTCAGCCGCAAAAAAAAAAAAAAAAAATCTGTCCAGGCCACCCGGCGGCCGCTGGCATGCTGCCGTCGGTAAAAATGTTTCCAAACTCAAGCATTGTCAAACTCACCACTCAGAAACTGGGACCAAATGTCTGGATTTCTGTTTGGACTTGTAGGAAAATGGGTTTTTAAAACAGTATTGTTTACTGTTATTATTATTAAATCGGCGCCTTCAACTGCAACTCGAACTAAAATTGCATGCGTTTTCGGCGACAGAACTGGGATACTGCTCCAAAGGTATGGTGGTGGCAAAAAAACAAAAACAAAAACAAAAAAAATCAAAAAAATTCAAAAAAATTATAAAAAAACATGGCATCCGAATATTCGAGTATTCGCTTGTAAGCCTGGGAGTGTACTCGGATACCTCATTACACTGTTGTGCACAGCCTTACTGCAGACTAGACACAGGCCTCAATGTAGATGTACATGTACAAGGAAAACCATTCGCATTTGAGAGTTCAAGAGAAACATCTTACGAGAGCCCCAATACCTAATTTTCATTTAAGAAACATCTACAAACATGTACATGTACAGTTTGTAAAACATTGATGGTCTCTTTTCATTTGTGCCAATAATTATGAAACTAGACATACATGTAGGTACTGTACATGTATTGTATGTCATTGTCATCTTTGAAATCATGTACTGTATCTAGATCAGACAGTATATGAGGAGAGATTCATTTAGCAAAATTAACATTTTTTATTTGTATTCATTTTGACATTGTACATCCTAGTACCAAATTAAATGTCTACATTCCAATATCACATAAATTATGAGTAACATTTTAAAGACTCACAAACCCAACAATATTTGTGATATCATTTGATCCCTTTGCAAACATGATGCTGTAATCGAGTCACTTCCCACATATTGAATGACAAATCAAGACTAAAATAATATCCGATGTTATCCATCTCCGGTTTGATTTCCTTAATCTTGTAATGCCTCCTGTCTAAGGTTCGGGGAAACCAAGAGCACAAGGATGACAAAGATGCACATGGAAAGGAAGTGCAAATATAGAAAATCAAGGCATCAAGTCTCTTTGCGAACGACATGTAGATTAATGAAATGAAAATTGTATTCATAACAGTGAGACACACTAAAATGTGAATCATGAACTAAATTACATTAGACAGGGATCCTTGAAACAATATTTGTCAAAAAGAGAAAGTTGCTTTTTCAACACTTTATCAAGAAAAGTAGAAAAAAAGTAGAAAAATTGAAGAAAAAAAAAACATGGATATTCAGTTCATTTTGACTTGCATTTTTTGAGTAATTACCATTAACATGAGCCAATTGTATTTTTTTTTACACATATTTTTCAATTTAGCATTCTTTCATTCATTTTTTTTAAATTACCTACTTATACGAGTATTTAGTTATCTATCTATATATTCAATTATTAAATTATATATATATATATTTGTTTGTGTGTCTCAATCCGGGTGGCTGGGCAAGATAACTAATCGTATCCTGGCTCCATTTTACTGACTTCAACCCAATATAGAGCTTACAAGTTGGGATACAATATTTGAAATCTATATCTTTCATCTCTCTCTGTTGTTGTCCCTCCGCTTTTCGGAGATCAGCGAGTATATCGCATTCGAAGTAGTAGAATAATAAACTCAGCATTATCTAAAATGTCCTTGTACATTGAAGATCAGACATCTCTACATGGTGGACCCCCCAAAACAGTTTTTGTTTCGTTTCTATTTAATAATTTTAAAGACCTTGACCGGAGCAGAGCATTATATAGACAAATTATATACCTACGGACTCGTGAATATTTACTGAATATGAAAATGCAAACTTCTCGAGATTCCACGGCCTCTGAAAGAAGTATTTAGCATCCGAACCCCAGGATTCACGGACTGAGAGGGGCACCCCGGAGATTTAGTTTCGGCTGCGCTAGCCGGTGGCCGTTTCTACCCGTTTCTGATGACGTCATAACGTGTAGGTTATTTGGCCACTCGGTATTGCAGCTGGTTCTTCGCATGGTGGTCGGTATGTGAAGTTTTCTTCTCTCTTTTTTTGTTGTTGTAAATATCAATGTCGAAGCTGTATTTGGACATTTTACGATTAGAATGTTGACATTTTATATCTGTATTAATTTCACGCTACGTAATATGGAATATCAACCCCAAATTTCCACTAAATTAGATTGAAACGAATCATTTGCCCGCGCTGCTGGCTGCCTGCCTCGGTCTGCGATTGCACAACTTTCAGCAATCTATCGCTGAGCCTCGCGAGAGCACTCGGGCCGCGGCCGGCCCGGCCTGACTTGCCGCGCCGTGTCATGCTGGTGGTCGTGGAATATTTCTCGAACAAAACTAAGTTTCGCTCGCTTTTATCGCACAGATAGCCTTTCCTTTTGCATGGTTTACCAGCATTAAATCAAAGAATTATTTAGATCTACATTGTTTTATTGTCTAGAATATAGTCTGTAAACAATGAAAAATAAGAAGAAGATGAAATGGAGATTTTGAAGAAGAATTGGGCCTAAAAAAGAAGAAAAAGAAAACTAGGTAGTTGGTAGAATCTAGGCCTTGGACTCGTGCCGCCCAGTGGCAGTGCACTGCAGTACAGTGAAGCCAGGAACTAAATTATTTTGAATTGATGTCAGAAATCACATGGGTGCCTCTTCTTGATACTTTCTCGTGATGAAAACACTGTTTTTATTCAAATCAAAATGGTCTAGAGTCTAGATCTAGTGTTGTTGCCAGGGATGATTATTAAAACAAAATCATCGGTCATTTGTTGTTGACTTTGCTTCTTTTTTTTTATCCGACTACAGATTAACTTTGCTTTTTTTTTTCTATGAAACTAGCCTCAAGTTGTTCTTTTTGTTTGGATGTGGGTAAAATCCTTATTTATATGCATACGGTGTAATAATACTTTGAAGATGTTTGTCAAAATGCGAGCAAAATATTTACATTTATTTTTAATAATGTACATTCAAGTTTAATTTAGTTCAATTTTGATCATGATATTCATATTTTTTTTTGTGCAATTTTCTAAATGATTAATATTCATTGTGGAATGAAAAAATAGTTTTGGCGAAGGGATGAGATGCTTGGAAATGCCGAGATCATGATTGCTAACTATTTAAATGAACTCTCCTTCACCTTTACCGCATATATTATATTCCCAATCTTATTACAGGTACAAAGGTGTACGACAAGCTTCGAGAGGAATGGCTGAGGACCAGACTGATGAACGACATTGGGATGATGTCCCCACATGCCCAAACCAGCAAGGTTGAATCATTCCACAACATCCTCCTTCACTTTTGCCCCAAGTTGCTTGTATACTCATATCAAGGGATGAAGTGCAGGTAAATTAGGCAATTAATTCATCAACATTATGCTCCCCTAATATAAATTTAACAAGAACGTCACAGAGGGCAGTGTTGTTTCTTCTTCTTCTTTTGAATTTGATTTTATTGGTTTTATGTTTTAAAGTTATTATTTTCTTTTTGTTATAGCCAGGTTCTTTCTATTTCATATTTTTTTTTTTTTTTTTTTTTTTTTTATTTATTATTTGTAACACATGCTTTTTACACTAACTCTTGCCTTCACTTATTGGAGAGTAGGTAACGAGTTTATGATGATAGACATTACATTACCAAAAAGATAAAATCAACTGTCACAAGTATGTTATTCATGTGACCTTTATTTTTAACTTCACTCTTTTCAGATTATATTTGGCTGTCCTACATTGGAACGAAAATTGTGATAGAGCCCAGGCTGTTGATGCCGAAGGGAACCCAGTGTACAGGTTGAAGTATCCACGCTCGAAGGAAGGAGGCCACACAGTGGAGAGAGTGCTGACAGCTGGCACATGTGGTAAGTAGCCACATGTCTAGTGAATGATATCAATATTCAACAAAAGAGCTCAATTATATATAGAAATCTTTTATTACTTCATGATCAATAGAATTCAAATTAGTAGATTCTTGTGGCCTATATGCCCTTAATTTAATCTGTTGATTAAATTGATAATTATAAACATGTATTGGGTTACTTTCTGCAAATGTGTAATATTGAATAGCAAGCAGAAACAGGCATATATGTCAGTCCCCAAGTCAGTGAACTACCTATTCAGCAAAGAACATGTGCATGCCATTGGTATTTGATTGGTCATCCACCTACAAATAGTGTGTAAAATTAGGTAATTCAATATTTGTGAGAAAAAGAGTTTTCTCTTCTTATGTTCTTATTTTTCTCTTTTCCTTTTTTCCTCTTATCAAAATGTATTTTTTTAACACCGTACAGATGAATTTTCAAGGTATAGTTTTGGATTTTATCTTGTAGGTTATGTGAAAGCCCTGATGAGAGTTGTCGTAGAACTGGTGGAAAACAGGGAGCAGCTCAGAGACAACATGGAGGAGCTACAGCCTCAACCAGCACGGAGTGCCTCTCATCATCACCCCGACAATGGAGAAGCCGTGCAAGCTTTTGAACAACATCATCGCTTTGGCGATAGAAACTAGTTCTTTTGGTGATAGAAACTATGATGAATGTGTCAGCTACCTGAACATTAACCACTGATTGTTTTATTTCAGTACAAGACATGTTTTTCATAGACCCTAAATTATGTTTATGCCAGTATAATTATGGAGAGTAACATGGAAGTACTCTATGCAAGTGAGTAGTGGATTCCGATTCTATGTGAGTGTAAAGCACTAGAAACTTGTCTGTAAGCTTGTACATACTTACACAAGCCAAAGTCCATGGTACACATCAATAGTCATTGGTTTTAATAGGTAAAATACTTATTAAATTTGTAAAACTTACATTTTTAGTTCAATTAAAAACAATTTCTGAAGCATATGCACTAGATTTTCATAAACACTAAGTAAATCACTGTTGATCATGAATTTGGCACCAAATATAATCTGATTTTTCTCACAGTCCTTCATCTTGGCCAATGCTTTTTGCTTCTTATTTGCAAAAAATAAAAAATTAAAAAATGCATTTTTTTTTTTCCATCTAAACTGTTCTTATTCAAGAACCATTTGATGTATTGCACCAGATATGACTTTATTTTTTGTTTTTGATTTTTTCCCTTTTCTGCCGAGGTGAATTGTGTTATTCATTTTCAAAGTTAGTAGTTTTAAAGATCATGCCATATTATCACAGAAGAGGAAACATTGTGATGATTACTTCATCGCATCCATACTTTTTTTCCTAACAGCGGTTTCCTGTTTGTCCTAAAACCTGGTTATAAAAGATTGAAAAATAATCATCCTTGCAGATATAATAAAAATAGTCATCTATCCTGTAAACTTTACATAAAATAAGGATGAATGTAATGTACATGTTGCATCAAAGTTTTTGTTCCAATGGTGCATCATTTTGAAATATATTGCACAAACAGAGAAGAAAATGATTGGAGGGAAAAACCGTCAATGGGATGTTCTGAGAATATTTTGAGCAAAGGTAAACAAAAATTCATCTAAAGGAACACAAATCTTGTTTGTTTATTTCTATTATAGGTGTCTTGTAGGAAGCTTCATAATTTAAAGATGGAAATTGCTGTGAAAATGAGAGTGAGATAGAGAATGTGAAGGAAGAAGAGGGATAAAGATAGATACCAATAGGGATAGAGTGAGAGATGTGAATGTGATGGATGGAAGAGGAGAAAGAGAGATTGTGAAAGAGTGAGAGATGGGAATGTGATGGATGGAAGAGGAGAAAGAGAGATTGTGAAAGAGTGAGAGATGGGAATGTGGAGGGTGGAGGAGGAAAAGAGAGGCAGAGGGAGAGAGTGAAAGATGGGAATGTGGAGGAAGAGGAGAAGGAGGGACAGAGTGAGAGATGGGAATGTGGAGGGTGGAAGAGGAGAAGGAGGGACAGAGTGAGAGATAGGAATGTGGAGGGTGGAAGAGGAGAAGGAGGGACAGAGTGAGAGATGGGAATGTGGAGGAGGAGAAAGAGAGGAGGGACAGAGTGAGAGATGGAAATATGGAAGAGGAAACAGAGAGAGGAAGTGGGATAGAGAGATGGGAATGTGGAGGGTGGAAGAGGAGAAAGAGAGAGGAAGAGGGACAGAGTGGGAGATAGGGTTAAGGTTTATCCTTTTTGGGAGGATAGATTTGATGCAAAATAAAGGATTTCCTGGATTTATTACGATGCTTACCATTTATCACACATTTGAAATTTCGTCAACCGCAATTCCCTTCTCTTACTCTCATTATTCCTCTGTCTATCTTTGTTGTGTCCATGCTGTTATTTCTCTTTCTCTCAATTTCGTTTTCTCTTTCAATTTCATTTTCTCTTTCTCTCCCCTTTTCTGACTCGGCAGGTTGACTGTATATGAAATGCTCAAATTATTAAAACAAATTACATTGCAGGGTGTATAACAAAAGAGAAGGAACAAGGCATGTTGTGTTTTTTTTTTTGTTTTTTTTGTTGTTGCTTGTTTATATAGATTTCAACATTCTTCCTCATAAGAAATCGTTGCTTGATCACAGTTTTGCAAAAGTTCGAATATCAGCTCTTGGAAATTAGAATCAAATGTCGAGATCAAAGTTCATAGCAACCATACCATCATGAGAAGTTCAAACAATAGTATTTGTGATGAATATGAAGATGAAAGCCGATGATCACAAATAACGTACAGAAGATGGCTGACAATCACATAGAAGATGACAGTCATTCAAAGTTCGCAAGACAATAGTTGATGTTACATCCTCATCTCAACCGACGCAGGATGGTCCCTTTGTACTGACCACGTCCATCAGGATACGCTTCCATTATTGAGGCATGGACACATGCTGGCAGTTGCACCCTGATGTCCTTCCCGAGCCAGCCCCAACACCATCTCACGACTTTCCTGTAGGCCACATACCTGTATTTTCTGTAAAATAAAAAGCAATAAAAAAAATTCATTATTTTTCTTAGGATAGATGATTTGATGTCAAAATATTAATTCTTTATTAATTAATTCAGGAAAATAAAAATGATTAAAAAAAACTAAAATGACCAAGGGTTAGTCATTGTTTGTCGGGCGGTGGGGGGCAACATTCAAAATCGCATATAAAGTTTGTGTTTCATAACTACAGATTATTGGGGGGGGGGGGGGGGGGGGGGGGGGGGTAACATGCTAAAACTCACAAACCGGTGGTCATTCTTGCCTATTTGTATACATTTCCTGAAAAAGTGCCCCGAAGCACCTGCAGATAAGGCAGCTAGTACACCAGTGGTCACCAGGCAAGAATTTTGGTCAAAACTAGTAATTCATCTTGCGGTGACTCAATTCGTTTTGAAAAGTTTCACCCAATAAACTTTCAAAATCAATCCATTTATTTTTTAGCCCTTGCCAAAATGATGAAAAGGAGAAACATAACTTACTCATTGTTCCTGTCCCCAAATGCTTTGGCTGCTCGGCGCCACCTATCTGTGTACTCCATCCATCCGATGTACAATGTTGTCGCATTTAGGATGGCCGGCTCAAACTCCTCAGAATCCACCAGACAACTTGAACCCTGTCGATCAGCCTCTGCCTTGACCTCTGCAATTTCCTGACAACAGACACAATCACCTTCATTGAAAGATGGAGGCACACGACATCTTCCACATGTACACCTTGAAATACAGAAAGATTCAAACAAAAATCAATACACCTACTATAATTTTATAAATATTTTATTACAGCTTCCTGATAAATATAAAAATGACATCGTTCTCGTAGTCGTAGTATGGTAAGAGTGCCCAAGGCAGTGCCTATGTCTGCGCACCCACGTAAATGCGCGATATTTATAGAACAAAACATCAAACTGACACCAATTTTCAATCTTAACCTCAACAATTCATTTAGATACCAAAATTTGTGAAAATAATTGGGAAGATTAAAAATGAGTTTTAGCAAGTTTCATTTGCCACCCTGAAAATTTCAATCATTGTCAAAAAAGAAAAGTCTGAACAGGGGGTTGTCCCTGGTATGAAACTTCACTGTGCTTGATTGAATTGCGTGCAAAATAGTGAGTGCGCAGATATGGGCACTTTTCAGTTTTGCTACACAAAATGACGAGCCCGTCTGAAATTCGTTAAAAAAAATTGTTCTTGTGAATAATTTGTCGAGTTTTTTTGTTTCAGTAATCATTAGAATATGAAGAACGGAATAACAATGATGATTCTAAAAATAATATCTTACTGTGTAATGAAATCGAGGTCGAATTTTAGGTGCGCAGACATAGATCTAGAGAATCATTTTAACAAGTTAACTTTAGAATTAGACATGCCATTTATGACCGAGTCTAGAGATCTACGGTATTTGATTTCAATTTTTTTTTTTGGGGGGGAATAAATATTTAGAATGCACAACAAATTCAATAAGCTTATAAGTCTTAATTACCAATCCTCGACATTTTCATGAAGCCGATTTGCGTTGTTGGCCCTTCCAGCATCGCCAACATTTTGCCCAGGTTCACCACGAGGTAAAGGCTCATACTCCCACTCGACGATACGCCCGTGTTCTCCGGCGTCTGCATCACTTGCATCGCTGTCGGTATCACTGCTGCTGCCAGTACTGTCCGGACTGTCACTACTACCACTGACACTGTCATTTTCACCGCTTTCCCCGCAACTGCCATCCTCCTCACACTCAAATTCCATAACTAAATCATCTTGTGCATCTGCCCTGACGACTGGGGTAGCCATTCTCTTTAGAAAGACTTCTCAAAACTTCTCAAACTTCAATCGATAAAAAGCAGAAAGGATTCACGGTAGCCTACGCAAAATCAATGTAGATCTCGAACATCGCGCGGCGAAGAATTACAGCAAACAATTCGAGTCTACACGAAATGACGTCACCCAAGTCCGTGCGGCGCGGGGGCTCTTGACCGAGGCGAATTTGGGAGGGGGCGGCAGTTGTACTGTAATTTTCATTTTTCTCAGTAATGAAAGGGTATTTAATTTTTTCTTTCTTGTATTTGTATTTTGTGTTTCATTAGCCGTCTGTGGATGTATGGTTGTTTACGCTCCGGTCAAGGTCTTTAAAAATTTGATCTAAAGGGGAAGAAAAAAAAATCAAAATCAACATCATAGAAACACTGGAGCAGACAGAATCACTGACATCACAAAGTGAATCATGCACAGACTTTAAAAAATGTTGTTGTTATACAGCTTTGTAGCTTGCTTTAAAGTGTACCTATCATCTAAAAAAAATAATGTGTGTCAAAGCAATAAATCTTTTATAGATCTATCATCTAGTATGGCATCATATTGGCTAACAAATAATGAGTAAAAAAGAAAATAAAAGATTTACTAATATTGCATGCTTGTATAAATCAACATCAATTAGACGCATTTAACTGAAAGTGCGTGAAATTTAGGGATCAAAGATATGAAAATCAAAATTTCTGATAAATTTACGTAGACCCTATTCCTTTTTTTGCTGCATAGACTATAGATCTAGAAGTCTAGGTCTAGACTATTAATATTATTTAAACTAATAATAAAACTTGGTGCAGTGGCATTCTAAGTAGGCCTAGGCCTACAAAGATTTTACAGGTTTTGAGGTCACTGTACTTGTGTTTAAAGTGTTGCTGGTCTTGCCTCTTACTCTTAGCAAAGCCACAGACAAGTTTGTCTTTGACTTATTGTCTTTGCATAATGATCATTCATTGCAACTTGCAAGTCATGCCACATTGCATGTTGCAACATTCCGACGGGCGAAAGTGCACTGAGTGGGCCAGTGGCAGTGTCAAGATCACGCTCGTCTTTTCCTTATGACTTTTTCGTTAAAACAATCCCTGGTCACGTTTCTTACCTTTCTGTGGATGTTAAACCCAATTATATACACGATAGCCCACATTTTTGGACACCAATGATCCGATTGACTAAGACCCGGGCCGAGCAAAGCCAAGCGATTCACCTACAGCTACGCCAGGGACAGTCGCCGCATGCCGCCTCGGATGGCTGGAGAGCAAGGACCGTAGCTTCTTCACGTACCGGTGACGGTACTGCGCAAA